AGCTGCCCTGACCAACGACACACAGTCGGACTGAACGAATGACTCACGATGATTAAAGACCAGGCTCCCAGAGGAGGAAAGTTGTGGTGATAGACCTAATGCATTCGTCTCACAGCTCCAGAGAAGATTTAGCTCAGAATTTTGGAAATAGGTTACAACGAATTTGCTCCAGTCAGTGTTTTGACGTCTGTGGGTTTTGGAAATGAAAAGTCAAGTTCAAAGGAAACTTCAACCTGCCAACTCAGCGAGCAGTGCATTGGAGAACTTTGGAAATAGGCTTTGACTGATGTAGGGTAGTCACAAAAAACATGCAAATTCATATCAGGAGCAGATCAAAACTAGATACGGATTTGATTTGAAGTACTGATACTTGCAGGTGTTTTTATTTGGTTGTAGAATCCCTCAGTCGTCCGGGCCAAATCCGTGGCAAAGGAGAAATTCAATTAGTCAACTGGACAAATGTTTATTTAAGTCGAAAATGACCTAAATTTTTGACCTAAATGTTTGTCCAGTTGACTAATTGAATTTCTCCTTTGCCATTTTTATTTGGTATTGTACTGTATGTGTATCTAGAACTATAAAAGAACTACCACTGTTGTGTAGCAGGGTGTAGATCAGGCCGACAGATCCATGATCAAATCCAACCCGAGCGCGGTAGGCATGAAGATATTTGTGTCCGAACCTGTCCGAACCCGACCGAACCCGACACAATAAAAATGGCACACATAGGAAATTGTTTGTGTGGCCTCTAACGGACACAGAGACGCAAAATACAAAAAATTTAAAATAATTAGAAGATTTTATTATTCACCTCTCATAAAGTGGTAAATTTAAAGTAAAGCTTCTCATCCATGTTATCCATAGAAATTGTCCTCCACAAATAATGAAATCCAGTCCGCAAAACAACACTATTAATCCAGTTTGAAGCATTAAAAGTAAAAAGCAGAGTAGTTTCACGGGGTGAAGCAATAATGACTCTACTTCCTGTGATGACTTTATCATCAGTCTTTATGCTTTAAAAATCACATATCTGAAGTATTGCCCCACATTTCACAAATAATAATAACAACACAGTTTGGACCTGTATCTAAACTAGAAGTGCAGAGCTCTGATATTTTGAACACTTAAGAGTCTCAAATCGAGTGGTTTTACTGTAGACAGGAAATAGCTGACGTGCTGATGTCTCAGAGTCTGACCCGAGCCTGAACAGAAGTTATAAATATTTGTCTGAACACATCCAAACCCATCAGGTTCTGAAGGGTCCTGTTGGACTTTGGTTGGGTTTCCATTCGCTATTGTGTAGATATGTGTAAAACTGCATTCTATTGCATTAAAAACTGAATATTTTTGTAATTGTGATTGTGGGGTTAAAGACCGGTATCATCACATAGTTTTTTTCATGACCACTGCTGATGCAAATTGTTGAGAATCCAGAGCAAATGATGACAGATAAACTAATCTGAATATAGGACAAACTCATCCACAACTGTGTTTTACTACAAATTTGATAAAAGGGCTGTTTTGCAGTACCATCTTTGGACAAAAGTGTTCAAATTAAGCTTTGTACTTACATTACTGATGCATATTTGGGCATCTTGTAGGGATAAAATAGCCTATGTCTATCTCTAATCAAGTATCAAGCCTTTTCCTTTAAAGCATTGAAATCGTATTTGAAATTTTAACATGGCATTAGTCTAGTTTTTGTAGTTGCTGTAGCTGTTGATTTTCCTTCTAGTTTGGAGAGCGGATGTGTTGGAGCTCTACAATTGAGCCACGCCTCGATGTAGAATTCTAATATAATGTTTCATCTCTACATCTTTGAACTTGTAAGAACTTGTAGGACATAATGAATAGCTCTGATAATTCACCCAAGATCTTATTGAATCTGTGTGTCATTCGTTCATTCATTTTTCAAAATAAAACCAAAAATAAGAAAATGAAAAAACAACTACTTTCTTCATTATTTGTCTCCAAAACCAAAATGAAAAAACAGATAATGATTAATTTTTTTCAGTTTTTGATTTTGTGTTTAAATGAATAACGGAAAAAAAGGATAACAACCATTTCTGGGATTTAAACTGTGATGCCAGACTTTTGCGCTGCATACGGACTGAACCAGGACTAAACCAGGACTGAACCAGAACTAAACCAGGGCTAAAACATTATTGTTATCCATTTTTTTTCGTTATTCATTTAAACACAAAATCGAAAATTGAAAAAACTAATCATTATCTGTTTTTGCACTTTGGTTTTAGAGACAAATAATGAAGAAAATTGTTGTTTTTTTCGTTTTCTTATTTTTGGTTTTACTTTGAAAAACGAACAAACAAATGATACACCGATTTCATTGGATCACCCATAAAAGGGCCCGTATTATGCTATTTTCTAATTTATGTTATGTTGTTTCCTCATCAAAAATGTACCTGGAGTTTAACAATGATATATTTAGGCTCCGTTCTTCTCTCAAACAGAAACACCCTGTTCCACCTTGTGATGTCACGTGGTAATACAAGCAGCGCCCCCACTGTGTTTTTAAACTCTGTAGGCTCTCACTAAAATCATTTGGATGATTTCAGATGTGGAATTGCCGAGCTCCGCTGAACAAAAGCTAAAATGTCGCTGTTAATTTGAAAACTACCGCTTCATGACATCACAAGGTGGAACAGAGCATTTGGAGATGTACTAAGAGACAGACTAATAAACCAGGATTACTCAAACATGTGTGAATGAAACAAAACACACCTCCTGGTATGTTTTTGATAACATAACAGCATTATAACACGACTTAAACAGCTCACAAGTATCCATTTTGTGTAACTTAAGTCCATTAAAACTTATCCACTCCATCTCCGGCCATATTTGATCTGATCCTACTGTTTACTTCCTTACATCACGGTAATGGGCCTGATCTATTAGAATAGTTGGGGCCCATTTGGCTGTCGTCTCCGGAGCTCTGGGGGAGGTTAGATTAAACTCATTTGAAAATAGCTGGAGCTGTTGAGTGATACAAATCCTTTTGAGTGATGGATGAGTCACAGTGGGGTCTCCCTCCTCTCCCCCCTGCTCCTCCCCCGTCACTGTCTGCATATCCAGACACTTAGCACAGTTTGTAGCATTGAGAGATATCGGGTTTTTAGAGGGAGTGCTTCTGCTTCTGTGTTACAGTTTTCTGGTACTGAGCTTGTAGATTATTACTTTTAAATTGGTCCCTATCTAAAATTATTGTTGACTAGGGGTGTAACGATATCCAAGTCTCACGATACGATAGTGTCACGGTATGAACGTCACAGTATTTCGGTATTTATTGTGATATCATGGGAAAGCTCACGATATGGTGGAGAGGCTCACGACAGGGATGTAACAATATCCAAATCTCTCTGTACGATATTTTCACAATATACATCTCATGGTACGATATTTATTGAGATATTTTGTGGAGGCTGCGATCAAAACTGTGAATATGCTACTTTTTCCTTTTAAAATGCCTTGACAAGACTTAATCCAAAGAACTAAGACTTAAAAGTGCTTAGAACTGTTATTTCTTCTTGTAGTCTACACTGAAATGGAGCAAAGGATCATGGTCTATGTAGTTCCCTCTGATGTTTTTTTTTTCAGCTATTGCTGCACCATAACTCTTAATTTAAGCAAAGAGACTTGTAATTCGATATATTGTGATAGTCCTCAATAGGATATCACGATATTTTGGTTATTGTTACATCCCCTATTGCTGACATGTTATGAAAAATGCAGAAGTGAAGCACCAGATTGAAAAATGCTTCATCACACTGAGAGAAGGAAAGACATTATAATTGCAGAGTTGAATTCACTGCAGTTCTTTCATAATAATAATAATAAAAATGTTAAAATATCCAGAAGTATAAAGCATTTTCGTGGCATTTATTCACTCCATACTAGTTGCACATTATTTAAACTTTTGCCATGGGTGCAGCCATCGTCAATTCAGGTTTAGGGGTGTGCAAAGATATCAAAATATTAATATATCATATCGTTTAATATGATGATACAGTATCGATATCGTGGGCTGCTGCATCGATATATCACCTAGAGTATTCTTTTTGTATAATTTACTAAATTATTTTGTTACAGTGTGACAGTTTTGCTTGTTTATTGGAAGAAAACTCATTTATGTGACACATTTGACATTTTCACTGTTTTGATGATTAAAATGTTTGTGTTTGTTAAATCACTTCTTGTGCAACGTGAATATGAAAGACTTTTAGTATCACAGCCATGATTTAGCTTTTATTTTTTATTGAACCGTATCAAATCGATTTGAAATGTATCATATCAAATCAAAAGTGCACTGTATCGAGATATGTATCGTATCGTGGCCTATGTATAGAAGTATGTATCGTATCGGCAACTTCTTAATGATACCCAGCCCTATTCAGGTTGTATTATTTTGTACGGGGCTGCTGATCTTAACAGAAAATAAGTTATAGAGCCGTTTTAAAACCTCCCCAGAAAATCAGTGCAGTGTTGATTTATTGGTGCACATGAACATTGAACATTTTACACGAATGAACTGACTTTATATCATATTTAATTGTCAAAACTTTTCAAAGATCTCCATTGAAATGAGACAAAAGTAACTACTGTAGCCAGAGCTGCCCTGTGGTAGACTGATTAAAGTGAGGCTGCCAATCTGCAGCATTGGCCCTTCTGACCAATTACACACCACATTCATCCTAGGCAAAGTGGGTGAAGTGTCTTGCCAAATGACTCACTGACAGTTTTTGCCAGTGGTATTCCCAGAGGTCAGCTAACTATGTACTAGCCAGACCCAGCCTTGCTTAGCTTCCAAGATTAGATGAGGTCATTGCAGGATAGGGCCATATTTTCCTGATGGCGACAAGCTTCAAATGTTATGGTGAGCTTTGAACTTACCGAAACAGATCCTGACACTCCTTCAAACATCTGTAATAGCAGTCACGTACAATGATCATATTAAAATCAAATATTTTTATCTTCTTTTCCAGGTGGGGAAGGAGACCGTACAGACCACAGATGACCAGATTATGAAAAGGGACATGCCTCCTGCTTTTATCAAGTAAGTTCTGCCTATCTCCATCTGTTTATCTGTTTAAAGTTGGTGTCTGATTTTTTTTTTTTAACTGGTCAGTACCTGGAGAACTGATAAAGAAAGTTCTCCAGTTTGGGGACATAAGAAACAGTGTGATTGGTCTAAACAGACACGAAACGCTCTTCAAACTCTTCCCCTGCAGACAGAAACACCTGCTTTTAATTTGGGCAGTGTGGCGTGGTGTCACATCCATCCACTTATTCGGGTCTGGGGTTGTGGGGACAGCAGGAACTAAGAGGAGACTCCCAGACTTCATTCACCCCCAGACACGTCCTCCAGCTCCTCTAGGGGGACCTCGAGGCGTTCCCAGGCCAGCCGGGACACATAGTTGCTCCAGCATGTCCTGGGTCTTTCCTGGGGCCTCCTCCCGATGGGACATGCCCGGAACACCTCCCGAGAGAGGCGCCCAGGAGGCATCTGGAACAGCTTCTCACCGTATCTCTAAGGGAACACCCTGCTTTTTGACGGGCCCTCTGCTTGAAAAGTTACACAACGCACCTTTTAAATTACTCACCGTTCTCAACCACTGTCTGTATACTTCAGTCTGCGCTACACACACTCCCCCGCTTCCCTTTCATTTACTGTAATCAGGGTCGGAGATGAAGAGAGGGAGGGGGTCAAAGGTCACAGAGCTCAACACATTTGGTGCTTCAGAGCCACATCGTCACCCTGTCGTCATCTATCAGCACAGGAACAGGAATGCAGCCATGTCTAAATATAGAGAGGGGCCTGTGCACTGTTCACTGAAGGACACTATTCACTGTCACCCTAGCACTCACTACATAAAGCAGAGGGCGAGATTTTTTACTTAGAATTGATTTTGGTAGTACTAGTCCCTTAAAACCCTACATTACGCAAAAGTGACTCTTGTGAGCTTTAAGTTATGTTATAATGCCGTTTCCTCCTCAAAACTTTCATTCACTTGTGTTTGAGTAAACATTTATTATTAGTCTGTCTACATCTCCAAAGCTCAAAATGCTCTGTTCCACCTTGTGATGTCATGTAGTGGTAGTTTTCAAGTCAACAACTCTACCTTTTAGTTCAGTAGCAATTCCAGGGCTGAGAATATCCCAATGATTTTTTACTTTAAAAACACAATGGAACACTTTCTGTATTACCACACGACATCACAACTTGGAACAGAGTGTTTTCTGTTTGAGAGAAGATCTGTGTGAATGAAACAAAACACAGATTGCCTTTTTAGGTCTCTGTAGTTGATGTATTAATTTTAAAAGTTTGAAAATGGAAGCTCTCTGATGTGAAGTGTGATCATTTTTGTGAGGTATTGGATCTGAAATCTCAACCTCAAATAGTAATAGTTTTTTGATGCTATTAAGAGTAGGGGTGTGCAAAAATATCAAAATATCGTATCGCTTAATGTGATAATACAGTATCGATACCATGGGCTGCTGCATCGATATATTGGCAAGAGTATTTTTTGGTATATTGTACTCAATTATTTTGTTAGAGCGCTACAGTTTTGTTTGTTTAGAGGAAGGAAACTTGTTTACACAACACACTTGACATTTTCACTCTTTTAATGATTAATATGGGTGTGTTTCATATTCATTTTGCACAAGAAGTGGTTTAACAAAGACTTTTAGTGTCACCACTAGGGATGGGCATTCGAAGAAATTTTCTTAATCGATCGTCGGAAGAATTAACGATCGATTATCGATTAATCATTAACATTAACATTTTATATTAAAATGATCATCATTATTATTACTATCCGCACTACTAATCTGCATAAATAAATTCAACTTTACGACATATAAACCGTAACGACTCTAGAGCCACATCAATCCGTTTGACATTATAATGTGTTTAATTCAGTTTTGCGCAACTCTCACAGAAACGAAACTTAAAACCGCATCGCTAATTTGCATAAACTAAGCGAAAATAAAATGACAGCTCTTGTGCGCTGATGCGGTCAATTTCTGTCAGATTAAAAGACATGACTCAATGGAATACAGGTTAGTGTGACCATATTTGCGTTTGTCAGAGGTGGGGACTCGTCATCGACATTGCGCGACTCTCACCTGGCAAAGCTTTTTCCCACTGGACACCGAAACACATGTTCCTGCTTTGTACACTGTGCACGTGGCCTCACACTTGTCTCGAACGCAACGGAAAGTGTGCATTTTCTTGTACAAGTCATTGTTAAATACGCATTTTTGCTTTGGTACGTTGCAGGCTGACTGAATGTTTGTGTCTGCTCGCTCCTTCTGAGTGCAGAGAGCTACATGTACGGACCCCTGTTTGGTCACGCTACGCACAGCAACCTACATTCGGTTTGTCGATTAAAATGAACGTAATCAATGAAATTCTTAATGATCAATTATCGATTAATCGATTAATCATGCCCATCCCTAGTCACCAACATGAGTCAAGCCTTTATTTTGAACCGAATTGAAAGTGCACTGTATTGAGATATGTATCGTATTGTGGCTTATGTATCGACGTATATATCGCATCGGCAACTTCTTAATGACACTCATCCCTAATCATGAGTAAACCGCGTCAAAACGTTTGCAATCTGACAGTGAAAAGACAAATTTTAGGAATTTACTAGAAAGTTATTTGATAAATGTTAATGTGTTCTACGATTTCAAGGTGCAATATGTAACTTTTCTGATGGAGGGATGGTCAGTTTTAAGCTGTTAAGGACAGTAAACGTATCTTGCATTTATTTCTTTTATTATTCTCATACTGTAGGATCTAGGACTGGGTATCATTAAGAAGTTGTCAATACCTCGATACATAGGTCACGAGACGATACATATCTTGATACAGTGGACTTTTGAATCAATACTATATATTTTAAATCGATTCAATACGGTTCAATAAAGAATCTAAATCTAACTCTATATTAAATAGCAGTTAGATGATATAAGTTATCATTTGAGTGTAGGAGGGGATGAGAATTTGACTCCCGTTTCACTCTTGGCTTTGGATCCTGTGAGAAAATGTCTGATTTAATTCCCATGTAGCCAAGGTAGCGCACTGTTTATCCTAAGGCAAATATTCTGTAGTAGAACTGGATTTTTTACATTTTTATGTCGTCTTTCTCATTGTAATTGGCAGAAGTAGGTCAGTTTGTAGAGTTCATTGCTCCCATCAGTGCACAGTGTTCTGCAGTTGTGTCATTGAGCAAGACACTGAACCCACCTTGCCACCAGTCTGTTTGAAGAGTATAAATGTATTTTGGAAGTTGTGTAGCGCTACTAAATTTAGTTAGTTTAAGATGGGTTTAAAGCTATATTGTGGAAAATTCCAGGCAAAGCAAAAACATCTCCATGGAGACAAACAGGTTTTTGGCTGACACTCCTAAAAAAGTTGCATAATGCACCTCTTAACTCATTTGTGTCAGTTTTTCTCCAAAGTTGATTCTAAAACGTTTCCTTTATCCAAAAAATTGTATATTTCTCTGTTATTTTTTTCAGAGTGGAGAATGCATGCACAAAGCTGGTCCAGGCGGCGTCCATGCTCAAAGCCGACCCTTACTCTGTCCCCGCTCGAGATTACCTCATCGACGGCTCCAGGGGGATCCTCTCTGGGACCTCTGACCTGCTCCTCACCTTTGACGAGGCAGAGGTGTGTACACAGTGAAAAACTGTCATCCCTCTCTCTGTAACCGCTGTAGCGAACGTCATTATGGTCTTAAAATGTTTGTATTAACCAGCTTTATTTCGCTTGTTTTGTCCATAAATAAATTCCTATTCCTAATATGGAACTAGCTCCAAATTCGCTCCTATACTTGCTAACCTCGTGAGCTTCATTTGACTGGAGGCGAAAGCTGTGGGTGCTGTCACATTCACTTAGCCCGCTTCTTTATACAGTCTATGGTGCAGCTCATAATAGTCTATAATAGTCCTTTTAAAATCAACTGGATACTATATTGATCCCAACATAGATTATTTGATCAATACATCGTATCATAGAAAAAAGAAAAAAAAATTTATATTAGAACTAACTTTGACCAGTTTTTCTTTGCAAATAAGTCCTCGTTTTTTCTCTGTCTGTCTGTCTCTTGGCCTCTGTCTCTCGGTCTCTGTCTGTCTGTCTCTATCTCACTTTTCTTTGTCTCTCTTTGTCTCTCTCTTTCTCTATCTCTCTGGCTCTGTTTCTCTCTCTTTCTGTGTCTGTCTGTCTTTATCTCACTCTTCTCTCTCTGTCTGTATCTGTGTCTCTCTCTGTCTCTCTCTGTCTCTCTTTCTCTGGCTCTCTTTCTCTTTGTCTATCTCTATCTCACTCACTCTTCTCTCTCTCTGTCTGTCTCTCTCTCTGTCTGTCTGTCTCTCTCTGTCTCTATCTCAGTCTTCTCTCTCTCTCTCTCTGTCTCTTTTTGTCTCTTTCTCTCTGTCTTCTCTCTCTCTTTCTCACTCTTCTCTCTCTGTCCGTCTCTATCTGTCTCACTCTTCGCTCTCTGTCTTTCTCTCTCTGTCTCACTCTTCTCTCTCTCTGTCTCTGTCTCACTCTTCTTTCTCTCTATCTGTCTGTCTGTCTGTCTCTTTCTCACTCTTCTCTCGCTGTCAGTCTGTCTCTTTTTGTCTCTTTATCTCTCTCTTTCTCTGTCTTTGCCTCTCTTTCTTTCTCTCTCTGTCTGTCTATCTCATTCTTCTCTCTCTCTCTCTGTGGCTCCCTTTTTTCTCACTCTCTGTCTGTCTCTATATCTCTTTGTCTCTTTCTGTCTCTTTGTGTCTGTCTCCATCTCTCCATAATCGTACTGAACGTGCCATCACAGCTGAAATATTTTACCGATTACATCACCTTAAAATCACCTCATTGGTAAACCTCCAACAAAACCACCCTTAATCACACCTTCGCCGTCGCCTCTGCTGGAGTCACAGCTGGAGCGGCGAATACAGTGATTCAGTATGTGTCACTACAGGAGCTGCGTGCGCATACATTCAGGTGAAGGGTCAATCAAAATGGCCACCGATGTCTATGAGGTTTTTGCATTCGTCAGCTGCAGTCATCCATCACCAGAAGCGCGTTCTTCTCCCACAGCGGCCAGAGGAGGGTCATCTCTGTATTTCAATGTGCAGCATCTGATGAACCAGCAGTCTGTGCCAAAGAGGGAGGACTCACGGTTCTCACAAGATACAAGAAGATACTACATATAGACTACGCGCAATTAGGGCTAAATATTATGACAAAAGACTCTAATCACAATTGTTTCTTATATTGTTCGATCTGAGTCTCTTTTTTCAATTTTATTTTATTTTTCAAATTATAAACAAACAAACAAATATATTAATTTCCTGAACATAAATGAGAAAGATGTTTAATCATTACTACGGATGTAACGATATCCAAATCTCTCAGTACGATATTATCACGATATGCATCTCACGGAACGATATTTATTGCGATATTTTGGAGAGGCTAATATAATCATAGATGGGACGCTTTTCTGCTTTTAAAATACCTTGACAAGATTTTGGGGTGAATTATTTCTGTCATAATCCCAAGAATTCAAGTAAAAAACATATTTCTTCATGTTGTTTGCGCTGAAATGAATCATGGGATATGTAGTTCCTGATATTTATAAGCTGTTGCTATTATAAAACCTGCATTTAAGCAGAGTGACTTGTAATTCAGTACACTGTGACAGCTGATGGTATTATTGTGTGACTTTTGACAATACAATATCACAATATTTCAGTTTTTGTTACATCCCTAATCTTTACCATTTAAAACAAAAAATAGTCAAGTTTTCAAACCACATGCTTTTGACTAGGAATGTCCAAAAATATTGAAATATCAATATATCGTATAGTTTAATTTGATGATACAGTATCAATATCGTGGGGTGCTGTATCCATATATCGCCGAGTATTTTTAGGTATATTTTACTAAATTATTTTGTCTAAGAGCTACAATCGTGTTGACATTTTCACGGTTTTTGATGAGTAAAATCAGGGTGTTTCATATTAATTTTGCAAACGTAGAGGACTTAGCAGACTTTTAGTATCACAGCCATCATTAAACCTTTTTTTCAATGAACTGTATTGATTTGAAATATATCGTATCGAATTATACTGAATCAAAGGTGCACGGTATCGAAAAACGTATCGTATCATGGCCTATATATCAAAGTATGTATCATATCGGCAACTTCTTAATGATACCCAGCCCTACTACTGACAGAGGTTTGACTGTAGACCTCTTGATTAAAAAGACCCAAGCTGATCTTTGATGATTAGAAATGACTAAATCTTGATCTCAATTCAATTTTGATCAGTTGCCCAGCCTTAAGATGCAATAAAAATCTCTTTGCGTTTGTTCACACAGCCCATCATCACATTGTATCTTCATTTATGCAAAACAGCCTCACTATAAAATTACTGTTACTGTAAGACAGGAAATGACACAGGGGCTGCCTATGCATATGTAAACCAGAATGACCCAAAAAAGGGAAAACCTGAAGCTTAAATATGATGTGTTTGTGGCAGGTTCGTAAAATAATCCGGGTGTGCAAAGGGATCCTGGAGTACCTGACAGTGGCTGAAGTGGTGGAGACAATAAACGACCTCATCACATACACAAAGAACCTAGGACCTGGTGAGTTATGCAAAGTTACATAATTGGATTCCACAGTGTACAAAAGAAAGTTCAGGTGTTAGAACTACTCAGACTTTTACTGTTCACTGTCTTATCCCTTCCAGCAGGTGTTTTCTTGTCTGACAGTTTGGCAGATGGAGTCTTTGCTGTCCTGATCTAATTCTCCATACATAAAGAGCTTGTTTTCTGTTTTCAGGGATGACGAAGATGGCGAAGATGATTGACGAGCGGCAGCAGGAGCTGACTCACCAGGAGCACAGAGTGATGCTCATAAACTCCATGAACACAGTCAAAGAGCTGCTGCCCATCCTCATCTCAGGTCTGAAACACGTATGCTCAAAACACGGCCAAAACACTGGAGCTCAGGTCGCTAATAGGATTTAAACTCTTAGGTATTAAAATCTTTGTGACGACGAAGACCTCTGGGAGCCATGGAGTGGAGGAGGCGGAGAAGAACAGAAACTTCACCTTTGAGAAAATGAGCGCCGAGATAAACGAGATCATCAGAGTGCTCCAGCTCACCTCCTGGGACGAGGATGCCTGGGCCAACAAGGTGCACTAAACACACCCTTACTTTGGTATTTAGATTAATTTAAGCATTAAGCTGTATTTACGTAGCAATAATATAAACAAAAAGAATTACTGGTATATCTAGGCCTGTCACAATAACTACTGTATAACTTATCATTCTATAAATGAGAGATGGAATTTTTGAGAGATGTTTTTTTTTTTGATACTTTTTTCCTTGCATAGTTGGGGACTTTTTGTTTTTCCCTGTACTACTGTAAGATTTGAGCCATAACGAGCTGAATAAATACAGATTTTGAGCTAGAAATTAAGTACTAAAATTAGGGATGTAACGATATCCAAGTCTCATGATACGATATCGTCACAATATGAACTTCACTATACGATTTTTATTACGATATCGAGGGAAAGCTCAAGATTAGGGATGTAACAATATCCAAATCTCTCAGTACAATATTTTCACTATATACATCTCACAGTACGATATTTATTGCGATATTTTGTGGATTCAAATATGCTACTTTTTCCTCTTAAAATACCTTGACAAGATTTTATTTAAAAAACTATGACTTAAAAGTGCTTAGAACTGTTATTTCTTTATGTAGTCTGCACTGAAATGGAGCAAAGGATCATGGTCTATGTAGTTTCCTTTGTCTTTTTTTAAGCTATTGCTGCACCATAACTATTCATTTAAGCAAAAAGTCTTGTAATTCGATATAGTGTGATGGTCCACGATATTATTGTGAGAACTTTGACGATACGATATCACGATATTTCGGGTATTGTTACATTCCTAATAACTTATCGTTCTATAAATGAGAAATGGAATCTTTCTTGATGCTTTTTTCTTTGCACTAGTTGGGGACTTTTTGTTTTTTTCATATAATACCATAAGATTTGAGTCATAAAGGGCTGAATAGTTAAGATTTTTTGCTAGAAATAAAGTACTAAAATATATTATTTTAGTAGCATAAATAATTATCTTATTTTAATATTTTAGCTTATGTTTTTTTTACAATATTGTACATTTATAATTGGTGTTTTGGGATAATCCTGACATGAATTATTATTGTTTAATTGTCTGTTTCCTTCAGCGATATATCACACTTCAAATTTTGTTATCATGACAGGCCTAGGTGTAACTGTTTGTAAAATGGTTTCCTAAATTTCATTGACAATAGCTGCATGTTTAAACCCTCCTTTAGCCTTCCCCTACTACCTCCTGATGAAACTGACCTTTTTAGCTCTGTTATTTTATTTTCCTTCACTTTTTCAGCTGTTTCATTTCTTTCTTCCCTTCTTGTTGACTCTTGTGAATCACTTTTGTGTTTTTGTGTATTTATCCTTCTTTCCTGGTCACTGTCTATCCCTCCTTCACTTCCCCCTTTGTGTAGAAGGTAAGGCTCCTGGCATGAGTCCACTGTGTGTGCTGCTGCAGTTTTCAGATTTAATGCATTTTAACTTTTTAACATTTTATACATCTGAAAGTGAATGGGGTTTTGTTGAGAAGTGTTTTTTTGCAGGTTTGATTGCTTTTATCATGCTGTTTTCTCATAATATTGAATCATAACACCTACAACATGACTTCATCCCAGTGTGTAGATATAAGTTTAGACACACCATCACATTCAGTATTTTATTTTTCTACATATTTTTACTACTTTCTACTTTTTAGATACATACAGAAGACACCAAATATGTGAAGTAAGATATGACATTTTGTAATAAAGAACTAGTAACTCAATTAAATATTTTTTGACAGAGCAGGCAGAGGTTTTTGAAAAATAATAACTTATTAACTTTTTATCTTTACTACATTATTCCATGTAATCTTCATACTTCAAATATTTGATGGCTTTGTGTATAAAAAAAATGTAGAAAGTGAAAAAGTAGTGAAAAAGAAAGTAAAATGTAGAACTTTTAACACTAAATGAAATGGTGCGTCCAAACATTTGACTGGTAGTGTATCTACAATTATGTTGAGTAACTTTGAAGCATACTTCTGAAATGTAAAAAGTAAAAAAAATTTAAAAATATTCGCTGTAACTTAAGTTCACAATCCCTGAATTAATTATATGTAGTATTTAAAAGTTAGAATAGTAGTAAACTAGTAGTGTATGATGTAGTAATAGTAGAATTTCTGACAGTAGCAGTAGCAGTAGACCTTTTTCACAACGGCTGGAAATGCTGCAATGTACAGTAAACGTCACTTACGTTAATGCTTTTCTATGGCAAAATATCTGTGGAAATGTCTTCCACCAGCTTCATAAATCTGCCCCATCACCAAATCTTCATCCAACAAGTTCGACAAACTCCTCCTGAGCAAAACTAACATTATGGTCATGAATAAAACATAAGTAACTTGTGAACTCAGACTGATTCTACAATTAAAATTAAAAATCGATTTCAGAGATTTGTGCGGTTTGAACGCCAGACATGTAATCTGTGAACATCTGTAGCTTTCAAACTGCACAAATCTCTCTGTCTGCGCTAATATCTACATCATGAAATCTATTTTTAATTTAAATTGTAGAATCAGTCTGAATTCACAAGTTACTTATTTTTTATTCATGACCATACTGTTAGTTTTGCTCAGGAGTAGTTCACTAATGCTTGTCGTTGTTCGCCTTTACGTTTTCGTCTTTCTTACCTTGATAGTTGTGGATAAATTCTTCATGGACAGAATATGTCCTTTGTCGACCTTGTTGGATGAAGATTTGGTGATTTAAGATTTTGGCAGATTTAAGAAGCTGGTGGAGAAAACGCAAGATATTTCCACAGATATTAGCCTGAAGTGATGTCTATCCTACATTGTGGCACTTCCGGCCATTGTGAAAAAGGTCTATAGTGTAGTATCAGTAGCAACTTTTCACATCAGCATTGCATTTTTGTGGTGTTTCCTAATTAGTAAAACAAAATCAGTTGTAATCTTTTTTGTTTACATATCTGAGTATTTTTTACAGCAATTGTTACTCAAATCCTGTGTATTCTTTGGTACAGCTCCAGTAATAACAGAAGTATTGTTGATACTGTTGATCAGGGGAGTTTGTTGTTATTTTATATTCTAGGGGGGCCCATGTGTGACTTCTTGCCCTGGGCCCCCAAATTTTGATTGACGGGCCTGATAGCGGTATTTTTATTGTAGCATTAGTTATTGTTATCTAATCCATCTTTTTTATTGGACATTTTATAAACAATTTCACAGTCACACAAGTAACATCAGCTAAATTACGTGGTCCATTTATGTCTCCTAGTATTAAGTATCAGTAGTAGTATTTGTTAACTACACTAGGAGCAGCTGTATACTTATTCGAAAGTACTCTTTAGACTATTGCTTCATATCACCCTTGTGTCCTTGTTTGCTGTGAATCCTGCAGTGTCCTAAAGAGGTCGGTGTATTGATAACTTGACTCTTTTATTGATTCAGGAGCATTACGTCCCACTCAGCAGTCTGTAAGTGGGACGATCAGGTTTCTATGGAGATGCACAGGAAATGCCACAGAAGTTCAGGGAGTAGCTCTATTTAGCTCCGATCTGCTGTACTGTAAACAAGCTAATGGGGTGAACTGTTTAGAGATTTTACTTTACTAAATCCATGTTTAAATGGTATTAATTTAGTATTTTGGGTACATTTATTTTAGTAACTATGGCGATGCAGGAGCGTTTTTATCTAAAATTGAGTTATAACGTTGTCTATGTATCTATGGGTTTCGGTCACATCACTTTTTCCTATTCTGAAAGATTTAAACTGATTTAAATTTTCAAATGCCATGGCAACGGTCCCAATTTTTTAACAATCTGAAACCCATGGACTGTCCCATATGTAATACTAATCGTGAAAAATGTGTTAAATAAGTGATTTTGGCTATAAACGCAACAATGATCCAGTTTTTTAGTTTAGATTTCAATACTTTGGCTTTAACTTGCAGCAGGTGTCCAATGCAGATTGCAACTGTTAGACAATTTGGAACTAAAAATAAGCATTTTTCAACACAAATGATTACAAAATGTATTGGTAACCATTTATTCTTCAAGCCCCTTTTGCACAGAGCAGCAGACTAATCCTAACCAAGATTTATTGTATTCATGTGTACATCTGTACACAAACCCCAATTATGGGGACCTGGTTCCTTTTAGAAACAAAAAATCACATTTCCATGTTGTAAATGGTACAACATGATTTAAAGTTGAGTTTAGGGTTTAAGTTTATTTTTTTAATTTATTTTCCCTGTCCTAAACCCTGGTCCTAACCCTGGTCCTAACCCTGGTCCTAACCCTGGTCCTAAACCTGTGTCCTAAACTGTGTCCTAAACCGTGTCCTAAACCGTGTCCTAAACCGTGTCCTAAACCCGGTCTTAAACCCAGTCTTAAACCCAGTCTTAAACCCAGTCTTAAACCCAGTCTTAAACCATGTCCTAAACCAAAAAGCCAGTCCGAAACCATGTCCGAAACCATGTCCGAAACCATGTCCGAAACCATGTCCGAAACCATGTCCGAAACCATGTCCGAAACCATGTCCGAAACCATGTCCGAAACCATGTCCGAAACCATGTCCGAAACCCGGTCCGAAACCATGTCCGAAACCATGTCCGAAACCATGTCCGAAACCCGGTCCTCAGCCAGGTCCTCAACCAGGTCCTCAACCAGGTCCTCAACCAGGTCCTCAACCAGGTCTTTAACCAGGTCTTAAAACCAGGTCCTAAACCCGGTCCTAAACCCGGTCCTAAACCAGGTATGGACTTCTTTTTGTTTCAGCTCTCAATAACTAATCACAAAAGTCACATATGGTTCCCAAATGGTTTACACAAATTAATTTTATAATGTGTCTGTAGCGGGCTAAAGTTCATTTGACAGAAACCTGGACCATAACATGACCTATTTCTACAAACTCCATTCACAAAGCACATTTAGTTTCCCCCTTTCCTCTTAAACGCTCTTGGCTGGTTCGTTGTCACCGTATTGGATTACAGGTCATCATTTAGACATTAATACTGAACAGCAATGGCCCAGTCCTGAAGCAGAAGCGAAGAAAACCCCAAACAAAAGTGGACTGATTTTAGACCAAGACTAATAGAGAATGTTCTCATGGGTCTCTGAATGAAAGCACCATCTGTTTGTCCCCATGGAGATGTCACTGCTTTGCCTGAAATGTTCCTCAGTATGGCATTAAACCTTTCTATTTTCACGGAGACCAAACCAGACCAAGTTACAGGTCAGATCTGTGGAGAGGCGACCCTGCTCACAGTCAGAATGTGTTTTTCTTGGTATTTTTGAGCTATAAAACGACTTGTAATTGAATAAATGTAAGGTTTGTAACTGTTTAATGTCATACTGTGGAATATTCCAAGCAGAGCAATGACTTGTCCATAGAAACAAGCAGGTGACAGACCCCCAACCAAAAAGTTACGTAGTGCACCTTTAAAGTTGTCAACCAGGCCAAATTACAAGTGAGAATTCATGGTTTTCAAGGTAATTTTGAGCAATAAAAATATAAACAATGTGAACAAAAATAATGCTGTACTGGGGAACATTCCAGACATTAGCAATAACATCTCCATGGAGACGAGCAGGTGGCAAAACCCCCACGAGAAAAGTTACATAGTGCATTTTTAAATTACACTGATTCTTTGGTCATCTGCTTGGCTTGGTTTTGAGCTACTACGTTGTTGTATTTCATGTATTTCAAACTGAGATACAAAGGAAATGTGTTTTTTTTTAAATAATGGTTTGAAAGCTAATTGTTGTTGAATCTAATAATGAACATAAATGCATGTGGAGTTTGCAGAGTTTTTACGCTTTTGAAGAATTTTGTCATTTTTTTGGACATGGGTTGTTTGAAATTACATGTTCATTCTTGTTCTATGACACCTTGTTATGGTTAAGGTCCTCACAGGAAGCAGGTTTTATTACATTTTCATTATAATTCATAAAGTAACTCAGTAGTTTTGCATAGTATGATTAAAATGTCATATTGGATAACTAACTAATATTACACTGGTCTGATCCAGGTCTGAACCAGGCCTAAATCAAGGCTAAACCAGGTCTAAACCAGGTCTAAATCAAGTCTGAACTAGGTCTTAACTAGTTCTAAATCAAGGCTAAATCAGGTCCAAACTAGGTCTCAACTAGGTCTCAACTAGGTCTTAACTAGGTCTGAACCAGGTCTGAACTAGGTAGAAATCAAGGCTAAACCAGGTCTAAATCAAGTCTGAACTAGATCTGAACTAGGTCTGAACCCGGTCTGAACCCAGGCTCAAGTAAGGCTAAATCAGGTCTGAACCTGGTCTGAACCAGGTCTGAACCATGGCTAAATCAGATCTGAACCAGGTCTCAGCAACTTCCGAACCCGGCCTAAATCAGGTTTAAACCAGGTCTGGACAATTTTTTTTTGTTCATGCTCTCAATAGCTAATCACAAAAGGACAGAGCAGGTGAAAAAATGAAGGCAAAACAACATATTTTTCAGTATCTTAAAAACATGTTCATATATTTTAGAGGAGTACAGCAGCAGGACCTTTCCCATAACAACACTGTAGTAAACAACATGATGAATGCACCAGTCCATAAGCATTGATCAGGGCTCCTTTGTTTCCTTTAGCCTCATTGATTTTCTGTTCTTTATTTTTTATTCATTCTGTTTTTCTCCCTGAAGGACACAGAGGCGATGAAGAGGGCGCTGGGGCTGATTGAGTCCAAAATGGGTCAGGCCAAAAACTGGCTGAGGGACCCCAACGCACCACCAGGTAACAGAGAAACTGAAAGCAAAACACTTTTTAATCTTTTTAATGCATGGCTCCTCTGGAACATGATTACCGTATTTTTTGGACTACAAGTCACTCCGGAGTATAAGTCGCCCCAGCCAAAAAATGTGTAATGAAGAGGAAAAAAACATAAGTCGCACTTTTTGGGGGAAACTTATTTTATAAAATGAGAGACCAGGAACCGAGATTTCATCTTGAAAGTCAAGTTATGGTAAAAACAATAGAACAGAGAACAGACTGTTAACTTCACATATGAACAGTTCTTCAGATTAAACTATAACATAAACAATAGAACAGAACAAGTTTAACAAACTTTCCATCTCACTCCAAATCACTAAATCCGTTGAATTCTTCATCCTCGGTGTCACTTCTGAGCAACTAGAACTATAATATATTATTTTAGATCCATGGCAATTCCGTTATCTCTGGAGGTAAACGGAGCGCTGCTTCCTCTGCTGCATAGCTGTCATCAAACTCAGTCGCAGGACCACCCAAACCATGAAAAAAGTGCAACTTATAGTCCAAAAGATACGGTATATTTTAGGCCCGAGCTGTGACAGGGTGTAGGGTCTATTGCATTTGCTACGAGGAGCGCACGGGCAACAATGAGCGCATGGGCAAATGCAAGAATACATCGTGCAGCTTCGTCCTCTCGGTCACCCCCAGCATGAACAGCAGTGTCCCAGTAACCCACGTCCAAGGCCTGGGCCATATTTATCACTGCTAAAATGAATGGAGCTAAAATTTCAATTTCACTGACTTGTTTGTTGTTTTGTTCCAGGAGACGCAGGGGAGCAGGCGGTACGTCAGATCCTGGATGAAGCTGGGAAAGTGGGAGAGCTCTGTGCAGGGAAAGAGAGGAGGGACATCCTGGGAGCAGCCAAAGCCCTGGGGCAGCTGACTGACCAAGTGTCTGAGATGAGAGCCAGGTAACGGTCCTATGAAAATGTGTAGAGTTTCAGCATTGCAGAATATTCTTATGGTCATTACAGATCCTTTAAACCAGTGTTTCACAATTTTTTTTTCTGGGGACCCATATTTTAAAAGTCACAAACCTTCACGATCCAAGTCAATTGACATTATTCGTAAATCACAAATTAAAAAAAAAGGTGGATTTGACCATTATTGAACAATAATGAGGATATTTTTATTTTTGACTGAGTGATCGTGTCTCTCTGAACAATTAGTATTACTTAAGTTTTAAACAATGAAAAATAGTCATTGAAGCAGCAATAAAAGGACCCATAAGTTGCCTATTTGGACATTAAATGTAGCCCATTTCTTTTTTTTTTCAGCTTTCACTTGAACCAGCAATACTGGAACAAAATAGTCAATAAAATAATTACAAAATGATTAGAAATTATACAAAACATGTCTTAACTTTTCAACCTACATGCAGATCATGATAAGGCGACTCAAGAAAAAATCTCTTTACTACCCACCCGAGGGTCGTGATCCAGTCTTTGGGAAACAATGCTTTAAAGGTCCTATATTATACAAAATGGATGGATTCTTGTGAGTTTAAAAAAAAAAATTACAATAATCTTACCTCATCAAAAACATGTCTGAGTCTGTCTACATTTCCAAAGCTCAGAACGCTCCCTTCCAACTTGTGATGTCATCTAGTAGTTTTGAAGTTATCAGCTACTTTTTACCTTTAATTGAGTAGAGTTTGGCAATTCCAGGGCTAAAATTATACAAATGATTCTAGTGAAGGTGTATGGAGTGTTTTCTGTTTGAGAGAAGAAGTTAGCCTAAAAATGCAGGGTTTGTATGTTAAACGTGTGAATGAAACAAAACACAACTCCAGTTAATGTTTTTGATGAGCAAAAAACATTATAACCGAGAGCAGGTAATTGATACGGGCCCTTTACCCCAACCCACAGTTCACCTATAAACCACATCTGAGTTTTGCGGTTTGAATCAGACAGAGGGACCAATAAAAATGTTCATTTGGGTTGAGAAGGATGTGGTTGTGGGTTTGAGAGTTTGAGAGTTTGTGTGAGGTGTGTTTGTGCTACAGGGTATCTTCAGTTCAGTTCAGTCATTGCACTTGACTCTAGAACTGTTTCATTAGCTCGCTTGGATCAAGTAACCCTGGCCTGTATAAAGAACCAAAGCTCCAGTAAAACCCATGTACTTGTAATTAACATTAATAAATTCAAGTGCTAATAAACTGTAATAATAATATTGTGCGCACAGATCAATTTATAATACTTACAGCATTGGAAATTTCTGCAGTGCAATGTTCAAAATGTTTAAATAACAACAGTAAAAATACATTATTAATCACAGTAATAATTCACTATAAATAATATTTGCCATGTCACAGAAAGACAGGTCAGGATTTGAAACCTGGTTTAGTCCTGGTTTAGTCTTCATTCAGTCCTTTTGTAAACCTGGTGTAAGACTTTAATTAGTCCTGGTTTAGTCCTCATTTTGTTCTTTATTTAGTCCACTGTAGACCAGGTTTAACACTTTGATTAATCCTGGTTTCGTTCTGGTGTAGTCCTGGTGTAGTCCTGGTGTAGTCCTGGTGTAGTCCTGGTGTAGTCCTGGTGTAGTCCTGGTGTAGTCCTGGTTAAATCTTGGGTCACGCCTGGTTTGGTCTTTATTTGTCAGTTCTTCTGTTCTTTGTAGACCTGGTTAAAGACTTTGATTAGTCCTGGTTTAGTTCTTGTTTAGTCTCAGTGTAGTCCTGGTTAAATCTTTGTTAAATCCTGGTTAAATCTTGATTAAATCCTGGGTCAGTCCTGGTTCTCTCCTGGTTTAGTCTTCATTTGGCTGTTCTTCAGTCCTTTGTAGACCTGGTTTAAGACTTTGATTAGTCCTGGTGTAGTTTTGATTCAGCCCTGGTTCAGCCCTGGTTCAGCCCTGGTTCAGTCCTGGTTCAGTCCTGGTTCAGTCCTGGTTCAGTCCTGGTTTAATCCTCATTTGGTTGTTGTTCAGTCCTTTGTAGACCTGGTTTAAGACTTTGATTAGTCCAGGTTTTGATCACTTAAACAACAGCGTTACAGATATAAAGTTACGTACGCTTTTCTTTACACATTCCCCTTAATAATGTTTTGATTTCCCATGAAAACAGTGTGTGTGTGGTCTGTGTAAAAGCAGGAGCCGGTGTCAATGGGAGCTACAGCCACAGTGAAGTAGAAACAGCTGTCAAGTATTAATCCTCAATCAACTTTCACCCTCTAGGCTAAACAAAAAAAGAGTTGGAAGTTACTCTTGTGAGGAATTGTGTGAAAAAGGTGAAAAAAAAAAGACCTAGAAAATTGAGAAGTCAAAGCAGGGTAGCTGTGTAACATTCTCACCTCACAACAAGAAGGCCCTTGGGTTGATTCCCGAGCGGTGTGTGGTCTTTGTGTGTATTGGTTTGCATGTTTTACCCATGTCTGTGTGGTTGAGTATGATGGATTTACCTCATTAACTTAAAATATCTACAATAAGCAATATTTTCTAATCTAATAATCCTGACCAAGCCTTGTTTAAATTCGCTGTACCTGATTTTTACTGTCTTTAAAAATGAGAAAAACAGAACTACTTACTTTGAAATAGTTTACAGTGGTCCAAAGTTATAACTCACTTTTGAAATGCACTTCTAGCATCCTAGTTATTCAATGCAGTGAGTTTAGAAAGTGTTTTTTACAACTTTCAGAGATCAGGGTGGAGTTTTGTTAGCCAGGTTGGCGCCACCTCGTGTCTCCGCTCAATTTCATTTCTCTCCAGCGACTAGGTCAGGAATCGGAATACGGTAGATGGTTCACTAAAACCCTGGAAGTGCGAATCCAGGCACCAGCCAGTCTGCAAAGAGCCATATATTCTGTGTTGGCAATGATTCCCGACATCGAGGATTTAAAGCTGGAACAAAGAGAACGTTTAGTGAAATGTATCAAGGGGAAAGACATTATTGTCCTTCTTCCTACGGGATTTGGCGCATTACATACGTCATGACCAAATAGCAGCGACTGGTTAAAAAAAAAAAATACCCGCTTACTGTTGAGCGAACAAATCCTAATGCTGTGAGGTCAGACAGTTTCCACGAAGAAGTGAAATCGGCTGATGATGTTTTGCAGGCACAATAAATTTAACAACGACTACCATGTTAACAGTAAACATCCTGGTTCTCAGAAGTTAAAAGTCCATTGTGTAAATTTTCTGGTAAATTTTCAGGTTTGTCACATGCTTTTCTCCATGGAGATGTTATTGTTTTGTCTGAAATGTTTCACAGTATGGTATTAAAACTTTATATCATCACAGAGGCCAAACCAGACCAAGTCAGAATTCCTGCTTTTCTAGGTATTGTTGAGCTATAAAACTGCCTGTAAATGAATAAAAGTAAGGTAGAGCTGTTTAATGTCATACTGTGGAACATTTTGAAGCAGAGCAACGTCATATCTATAGAAACAAGTTCATAGAAACAAGAAAGTGACCGATCCCCAACCAAAAACACTTTCTAATTCCATGCAGATGCACACAGTGATTTCATTTTGACGTTAAGAGCTGCTTTTACCACACATAAACAAACCTAATAATCTAAAAAAAATAATTGTGTTTGGACAAAATTGGATGCAGACACTTTAAAGGTCATGATGGGGTGGGGACAATTATAAATCATAAACATATTTGAAAATCTAGTTCTTAAAAATGTCTTCTAGATAATCAAAGTGCAATTTTTACTTCAAAGCAAAGACCACCTGTATCACCACAGTTAAAAGAAAACAAACAAATAAAACTGTAGACTTGAAAGCGGTGTCCATAGCACAGCTGTGGGTCTTATGGTGTGCACATGTATTTGCAGAGGTCAGGGGGCGTCTCCCATGGCGATGCAGAAGGCTCAGCAGGTGTCTCACGGACTGGACGACCTCACGGGGAAAGTGGAGAACGCCGCTCGCAAACTGGAGGCCATGACCAACGCCAAACAGGCCATCGCGAAACTCATCGACTCTGCACAGGTGGGACGCTGAAAAGTTTAGAGTAAAAATGAACTATGCGAAGAAAACATTGCAGCTTTTCTTACATTTTAAGTATGCCCAAGACAATTAAAGGTGCAGTGTGTAACTTTCTGGTGGAGATTTTACCACCTGTATGTAGATGTTATTGCTTTTGTCTGGAATATTACTCAGTATGGCATTAAACTTGCCTATCGCTATGGAGACAAGCAGACAAAGTTACAGGGCAGAGCTGAGAAGAGGTGATGGAGCATGTTTTGCAAGTAGAAAAATTGAAGTTTAATGCCATACTGTGGAACATTCCAAACAAAGAATTCATCCCCCCCATCAGAGAAGTTTCATTTTGCACCTTTCAAGATTATATGAAAAACTAATAAAAGAACGTTCACATAGTTTTACGCAGTTAGCAATTTGGGGGCCCTAGGCGAATTTGAGTTTGGGGCCCTCACTATAATGCACCTTATTGTTTTGTTTTTTTAAAATATATTTATTGTCTGTTTTTCCCTTTTGTTCTTGAGATATGCACTTCTCTATTTATTTGAATTATGGTGGATTAGAAACCAGAAGTGAAAGTAGTTTTATTTTTTGCTACTACAATTACATTTTTGTTTACATCCATTGCAAATGATGATTATTATTATTATTATTATTTTTTTTTTATTATTATTATTTTTTTCCTTATGATTATTGTTTAAAAATAAAATATTCTAATGTCATATTGAGAGAAAATCAAATTGCTCTGAGGCTTCGGCCATTAGTGGCTTTGAGGACAATTGGTTGGGGGCCCCTTCAGGTTTGGGGGCCCTAGGCAACCATCTACTTTTGCCTAATGGTAGTGCCGCCTCTGGTTTTACGAACGTGTTTATACCAGTCTGAAGTACAGGGGTAGCTGATTCTATATATATATATTTTAATTAATTTTATTGATTACTCTCCCATTGTCTCCAGAGAAAAGAAAAGAAAAAAAAAGATAATAATAATAATAAATAAGTAAATAAATAATAGTAATAAATGATAAAGAAAGACATTATAACAGCAGTATAATAATAATAAATCCATACAGATGAAGTAATAGGTAAATAAGTAAGCATAGGGAAAAAAGGGGAATAAAACTAAATTAAAAAAGTGAGTAAATATATAGAAAAGCAGGTTCCGTTTAAAAAAAAATGCAATTTATGATAAGAAAAGACCTCAAATAAACTTGATAATTACATATACGTATTAACTGATGACTTTTAAACATATTTTCAGAGTTGGCTGGCAGATCCTAACGGTAGCCCCGAGGGAGAAAAGACGATAAATGCTCTGCTGACCGAAGCCGCTAAAATCGCTCAGAGATGTGAAGACCCCAAAGACCGCGACGACATCCTGCGCTCCATACAAGAGATCGCCGCCATGACCGCCAAACTATCGGACCTGCGCAAACAGTAAGAAGAGCCACTGTTATACTGATGCGCTCGGGGTGTTCTACATGTATCTCTATGGTGGAATTTTTAGGAGTTACGATGGTGACACATTAAGAAACGCCTCCAAAAAAGTTTTAAGATAGAAAATGCGTTTAAGCAACACATTTTCAGCAGCCTGTGATCAATACGAGTCCATGATCCGGTTTAGGAGTTTGATTTTCAACAAAAAAATAAGTGTCACTACCTGAAAAACTGTGGGCTAACGCTTCCAGTCAAGTCAATTCTTTATTTATGGTCAGATTGTGTTAAGATAAAGTTTAATAAAGCCCCAGACAGAGCAGTGCCTATAAACTTTTGAAACTTTAAACACTTTATTATAGAAAGAAAATATAAAAATATATTGAATTTTAATTATTTAATCTCATAATTTGTGGAGTTTAAATGCTGCTTAATATTTAATTAATCCTTAAACAGTCCTTTTTGTGCTCTGTTATTACTTTTAAATGGTTTTATGATAATAGAATCAAATCACAGTCTTATCACTCAATATATGAAAATAATGTATCGAACTTTATATTTTGGGGCTCAAAATTTATCATGTATGAAAATTTCTTTGTACAAGTTGGGAGATTTGGAGTATTTTTGGTGTAATACGAAAAGATTCGAGCTCTAGACAGTTGAAAAGTAATTTCTCTCACTAATTATTGCTTCATTCTGTTATTTATTGTTGGGATTATCTTGCTTTAATGTTATTGTGTCAGCGTCTTTAAGTAGTTTCTATATTATTGTTTATTACAGCATATCTCTGTAGCAATATATTGTGTTTCAATATTTGTTGTAGGTTGTTTTTTTCAACTAAAGTGGAGACTTTTAGACTATAGACGGCACAATACTCTGCTCTATAATCAGTGTCGGGAGTAACGTGTTATAAAAGTAACAAATTACTGTAATGCATTGCTTTTTGCTGTAACACAGTAATGTAAGGCATTACAGTCCTGGTTTAGACCTGGTTTAGATTTGTTTTAGACCTGGTTTAGTCCTGGTTTAGGCCTGGTTTAGCCCTGGTTTAGTCCTGGTTTAGTCCTGGTTTAGACCTGGTTTAGACCTGGTTTAGTCCTGGTTTAGACCTGGTTTAGTCCTGGTTTAGTCCTGGTTTGCTTCTGATTTAGTCCTGGTTCAGCTCTGGTTCAGTCCTTGGTTCAGTCCTTGGTTCAGTCCTCGGTTCAGTCCTTGGTTCAGTCCTGGTTCAGTCCTGGTTCAGTCCTGGTTCAGTCCTCGGTTTAGTCCTCGGTTTAGTCCTCGGTTTAGTCCTCGGTTTAGTCGTCTGTTTAGTCCTCGGTTCAGTTCTTGGTTCAGTTCTCGGTTCAGTCCAGGTTCAGTCTTGGTTCAGCCCTCCTGGTTTGTCTTCGGTTCAGTCCTGGTTTAGTCCTGGTTTAGTCCTCGGTTCAGTTCTTGGTTCAGTCCTCGGTTCAGTCCTGGTTTAGTCCTGGTTTAGTCCTCGGTTCAGTCCTGGTTTAGTCTTGGTTCAGTCCTCGGTTCAGTCCTGGTTTAGTCCAGGTTCAGTCCTCGGTTCAGTCCTCGGTTCAGTCCTCGGTTCAGTCCTTGGTTCAGTCCTTGGTTTAGTCCTGGTTCAGTCCATATATGGTGCAAAAGTTCGTCAATCATCGAGTGAAGATGCCGATCAGCGACATTTATTTTGTTGAGAGTAACTTAAAGTGCTGCAGTATTCGTGTAATGTCTTACATTTTAAACACAGTAATATTGTAATGTAACAAATTACTTTGAAATGACAGTAACAAATAAAAAAATAACACATTACAGTTTTGAAGTAACTTGCCCAACAGTGTCTATAAATGACAAATACTGAGTTATACTGTCAAACGTGATCTAGTAGAGAATAGAATAGACTTACAGTATCTATTTAAAAGCCACCTCATTAGACTCTAGTTTTTCTATGTGGTTTTGTCAGGCAAAATTAGCACTTCATTCAGAAAAGCTTATTGTATTTTTATTTTTTTATTCCCACATTCCCTTGCAGCTCAATTAGACTTTGGTGGTCTCATTATTTTAATCAGATCCATCTTGTTGACTTGACTTTGCAGCTGGTTTTGTGAGTGTCGCTAGGAAACAAATAATCAAAACAAAGCCTGATTAAAAAAGCAGTACATAATAATTATCTTGTCACGTTAAGGAACAACCAACGGCAATGAAAAAACTCTGAAACTCAACTTAGACTTTGCACAATCTAACTTTAAAGAACTGACTTCGCTGGAACTACAACAGACGAGCTGATTTGTGCTGTCCAAGTCCTTCGATAGTAACAAGTTTTTTTGTTTTTCATTTAGTCACTTTCATCTATTTGTTGAAAATCAAACACTTTTTGTACGATCATAAACGATAAACTTTTGTGCCTTCGTTAACATTATTATTAGTTTGTACGACCATAAACAAAAGAAAAAACTAAACAAATCAAAACTGGTATCTTAAAAAAAAAAAAAGATAAGAACTTAGGGAAAAAGTGATTGTATTTGTGTTTTGGGGTTAGTTTATGGAATAACCTGAGTGATGATTTTAAAAAGTCCAACAATGTAGAAGCCTTAAAAAAAAAAAAAAAAGAAAAGAAAAGAGTATAAAGCGTTATGTTTTGAAAGATATAGAGCTCTGAAATTAATCTACTACTACTACTACTACTACTAATACTAATACTAATACTAATACTAATACGACTACTACTAATACTACTACTACTACTACTATTAATACTATTACTAATACTACTATTACTGATACTACTAATACTACTAACACTAATACTACTACTGATACTACTAATACTACTACTACTACTAATACTCCTAATACTACTAATACTAATACTACTACTGATACTACTATACTACTAATACTACTAATACTACTACTACTACTACTACTACTACTACTACTACTACTACTACTACTACTACTACTACTACTACTACTACTACTACTACTAACTACTACTACTACTAATAATACTCTGACTTATATAGCGCTTTTTGGGAAACTCAAAGACGTTTAATGAATTATGCATTAAATTTAGTTAGTTTTAATTTATATTTTGTCTCTTATATATACAGTAAGTTGTGAGTGAAATTGTAAATGCAAACTTGTTTTTCATGCGCTGCTTTCTTTCTTGGAATTCTATTAATTTTTTAATAGGGTTTGGTACTTTTGCTTCAGCTTGCACCCTTCCTGTCATGATCGATGGGGTTGTGGTCTAAGTTTTGTTTTTGTTTTGTAGTGCTGCAAAATGACCCAATAAAAAAAGAAGAAAAAAAAAAAGAAAGAAAATCATACACCGAAACAGGACCGTGAACGCTCGTATTGATCTCAAGCTCAAGAGTCAATTTCGTATTTTTTCTTGAGTTTTCAGACAATCTCAAAACTTTCAAAACTTATATCAGGCAGTGTTTGCTTATTATTATTATGCATTGTGTCACCATGGTAACGACTGAACATTCCGTAGAACACAATAGACATCCATGTAGTCCTCCCCCACTGTGACATGATGACTATTTTAAAACGTTTTTGTCAGTGTTTGCTAAATGTCTGCACTCTGTCACCGTGGTAACTGCTGAACATGCCGTAGAACACCATAGACTTTTAATTTATTTATTTTTTACTTTAGCTTTTATTATTACCATTACTATTGCTATTATTATTAATCTGTTTTATTTTATTTTTATTTTTTTGTTCTTTGTTTTGCTTTTTCTTGGGGTTATTTTTGGAAAAAATTGAAATTTTTTTGGTTGATTTTGAAAATCGAAATGTATAACTAAAATTGTAAAAAAAAAAAAAAAAAGAACACCATAGACAGGCATGCAGTTTCCCCCATTGTGACATGGTGTAATGGTGAATGGAAATTAACACACACTTTTTAATGGCCCGTTGAAAATCCTTCACTACATCTCATTTGATCCAGCTTTGAAATTTGGTAACTGTCTGGTGCGAAGCTGAAATGAGACGTGGAATTTTTGTTTTTGTAACACACTTTAGCCGAGTTAAATCTCTCTGTGGTTAAATGAATGAACTTGATTGATGTTCAGATTCATCCCTCGTACAGTGATCTCATTTGGAAAACATTTTTGAGCTCGTAATGTGTTATGGCGGCTTAAAATCCATTTACTGTTCTTCTCTTTCGGGTTTTCTGCCGCTGCATTAGTTTTTAGGCCAGCTGCCCTCCCGGTCACATGAAAGGATCAAGACGACATAATCACGGCGACTATCCGTAGGTTTCAGTATTATAAAAACAAAAAAAACAAAAAAAGAGAAACAACTGTTCCTAAAGCAATTAATAAAAATATATATCTTTTAACCCATGAATTATTTCTTTGGCTGGAAGAGCGTAGACAAAGTGACCAAGCCTGGAACTAAAAACTAACCATTTTAGTTTAGAAAAGCATTTCCAGAACCCGGAGAGGCTAATAATTGTTCATGATGTCTTGTTAAGGCTTTATTAAGGCTAATTAAGGGTTCAATATTATACAAAATGAATCTTGGGAACTTTTAGCCATGTTATAAAACATACTGGAGTTGTTTTGTTTCATTCACACATGTTTGAGTAACCTTTTATTGTTATTATCTCTTAGGGATGTAACAATAACTGAAACATCGTGATATCGTATTGTCAAAAGTCTCACAATAATATCGTGGGCTGTCACAATATATCGAATCACACGTTCCTTTGCTTAAATACAACAGATTATAAACATTGGAAACTACATATCCCATGATTCATTTCAGTGCTGACAATGTGGAAAAAATCATTTTTTAACTTGAATTCTTGGGATTATGGTGTAAATAATTCACACCAAAAACTTGTCAAGGTATTTTAAAAGGAAAAAAGTGTCTCATCTACAATTACATCAGCCTCTCCAAAATATTGCAATAAATATCGTACCGTGAGATTTGGATATCGTTACTTCCCTAGTCTGTCAACATTTCCAAGCTCTAAATGCAGCTTGTGATGTAATGAAGCGTTGGTTTTCAACTTAACAGTTCCTTTTACCTTTTGTTTAGTAGTGATGGGCAATTCCAGGGCTGAAATTATCCAGATGATTCTAGTGAAGGTGTATGGAGTTTAAAAACACAGTGGAGCACTTCCTGTATTACCGCATGACATCACAAAGTTCATAAGAGTGTTTTTTTGTTTGAGAGAAGAACCCTAAATATACAGGGTTTGTGTGTTAAACATGTGTGAATGAAACAAAACACAACTCCAGGTCTGTTTGTGAAGAGGAAACAACATTATAACACAGCTCAGAAGATAGAATAATACGGTTTCTTTAAAGTATAATTATTACAAATAGTTTTTTAATGTCATATGTCTATAGCTAACTTCATTATGCCTGCGTATTTCCTTGAAGGGGTAAAGGGGACACACCAGAGGCCCGAGCTTTGGCCAAACAGATCGCCACAGCTCTCCAGAACCTTCAGTCCAAAACCAACAAAGTGGTCTCCAACAGCCGCCCCGCCAAGGCCGCCGTGCACCTGGAGGGCAAGATCGAGCAGGCCCAGCGCTGGATAGACAACCCCAGCGTCGACGACAGCGGTGTGGGTGAGTCTGACTGCAAAGTGAAAATACAGTAAATAATTAAAGGTGCATTGTGTAACTCTTCTGGTGGAGGTTCCGTCAAATGCTTTTCTCCATGGAGATGTTATTGCTTGGTACTATGGTATTAAACCTTTCTATCTGCATGGAGACCAAACCAAACCAAGTTACAAGTCAGATCTGTGGAGAGGCGACCCCCCTCACAGTCAGAATGCCTGTTTTTCTAGGTATTTTTGAGCTTTAAAACCACCTGGAATTGAGTCCAGGCTGAGGCAGAGAAATTAAATATCCTTAGAAACAAGCAAGTGATGAACCCCCAACCAGAAAGTTACAGAGTGCACCTTTTTAAATAAAAAAATATCCAAATAAATCATTAAATACCTGACAGTTTTTCATTTATTTCCATGATTATTTACACTGTAGATTCTCATTAAAGGCGTCAAAACTATGAACGGACACACTGAATGCAGTAAACCAAAAATAAATTCAAAACACATTGCACTTTTTTGCATTTTAGATTTATAAAAACTTAAAAATATCCAGCCTTTGCTTTGAACCTTGGTTTGCACTCTTGTTATTTCTTGAATCTGAAAAGGCACAGCTGGAAACCATTTCATGAAGCTCACTGAGAGAAGGCCAAGGGTTTAGAGCTCTGTATTTTATTCTCTGGCTTTTAACACTGTGTGAGTTGTAGGGTCCTCTGTGTCATTTATTTATTTATTTATTATTATTATTTTATTTTATTTTTAATTTATTATTTATAATATTTTAATTTATTAATAATTTTATTTATATTTTTTAATTTTGAGATTTATGCATTTTACCACTTTTTACGTCAAATATAATACTAATTCTTCCTAGAAGGAATCTCTTACCAGCTGCCCTAAATTCATGTGAAACTTCCCTAATTTGCATTTATAGTCCCTGAACTTCTACAGTTTGTGAAGTTATTTATTTCTTGTGTTGACAGATTGATTGCATGACTCATAGTGGGAAGTTTTTTGCGAATCAGAAAGCAGAAGCTGAGATTTGACTAGATTCCTGGAAATAATTAAAGTTCTTTGGTACTACACATTATTTAAACTAAGTAAGAAATTGTTGAAGGACCAGTGTTTTTGATTCTCCCACTTCTGCATCCAAATTAGTTCGAAAGAATGTAAACTATCGAAGTATCTTTCACCCATATTTGGAAAAATATGCGCAGGCTGGACGCCGAATGCAACTGGCCAAGAATAAAGAATCTATCAAAGCAAAGGGAGAAATAAGGACAATCAGGGTTTACTAGAAAAATGTAAAATGGTTGAGTCCCTGATAATACAAGTTTAGACCTGGTTTAGTCCTGGTTTAGTCCTGGTTTAATTCTGGTGTAGTCCTGGTTTAATTCTGGTTTATTCCTGGTTTAGTCCAGGTTTACTTCTGGTTTAGTCCTGGTTTAATTCTGGCTTAGTCCTGGTTTAGTCCAGGTTTACTTCTGGTTTAGTCCTGGTTTAGTCCAGGTTTAATTCTGGTTTAGTCCTGGTTTAATTCTGTTTTAGTCCTGGTTTAGTCCTAGTTTAATTCTGGTTTAGTCCTGGTTTAGTCCAGGTTTACTTCTGGTTTAGTCCTGGTTTAATTCTGGTTTAGTCCTGGTTTAATTCTGTTTTAGTCCTGGTTTAGTCCTAGTTTAATTCTGGTTTAGTCCTGGTTTAGTCCAGGTTTACTTCTGGTTTAGTCCTGGTTTAGTCCTCGTTTAATTCTGGTTTAGTCCTGGTTTAGTCCTGGTTTAGTTCTGGTTTAGTTCTGGTTTGGTCCTTGTTTAGTCCTGGTTTAGTCCTGGTTTGTTCCTGGTTCAGTCCTGGTTTAGTCCTGGTTTAGTTCTGGTTTAGTCCTGGTTTGGTCCTGGTTTAGTCCCAGTTGAGTCCCAGTTGAGTCCCAGTTGAGTCCCAGTTGAGTCCCAGTTGAGTCCCAGTTGAGTCCCAGTTGAGTCCCACTTGTGCTCTCTGGTCTTCTGTTTGTCTGCTCTTCTTTCAGTTTTTTTTGTTTTGAAGTCATCTTTCATCTATAGAATTTAAAATAAAATAAAAAAATTTGGCAAATTTTCAGCAAATTACCTTACTAATTAAATAAGATCCTCCTCTGACAATATTTTACTCAACAAAATGGGAAAAAGTAAATCTAGATTCATTAATTTTTCAGTAATTTGACTTATTTTTACACATTAAATACCTTTACTTATGAAAGATTAAGATTCTAAGATTGCAGAGACATATTTTAAGTGTTTTCTCTGTTTTTGTCACCAGGTCAGGCAGCGATCCGTGGTCTGGTTGCAGAGGGGCGCAGGTTGGCGAACGCTCTGCCTGGGCCGTACAGACAGGAGCTGGTGGGGAAGTGCGAGCAGGTGGAGCAGCTCATGGCTCAGCTCGCCGAACTGGCCGCGCGAGGAGAAGGGGACTCTCCTCAGGCCAGAGCCGTCGCACAACAACTGCAGGAGGCTCTCAAAGTAAGAGACTGGAAGACAAACGTAGGCTGGGTATAAAAGAGGAGACGGGCAAGGAGCGCCCTCTGGTGTCCATGAGGTTTAAGTGCAATTGTAGTAGAGGAAATAGCCATGTCTATTCTAACATTTGCAACCAAGTCTATATAGTAATTTCTGGCCTAATAACTGCAGGAGGCACTCAAAGTAAGACCTAGGCATTCAACTAAGGGCTGGTTAATGGAAGAGACGGGCATGGAGCGCCGTCTGCTGTCCACGAGATTTAGATACAATTAGAGGAAACTAATGTAAAATTTGTTTTATTTGTTTGAGCCACATGTCAGTGCTAATACAAGGACAAACAAGGACATATAAGGAATTAAGGAAGGAAGGAAGGAAAATGTATTGGTATTCAAAAGAAGTAGGTAGGTTAACTATCTAAGCTATGAATGCAACTTTATAATGTCTTTTACTCACATACTTACATTTATTGTTGGGTAAATGGGGTATTTTCATTGGCGTTTAGTATAATTTAGTATAGTTTTTTTTTTTACACTAGGGTGTACCATATATCTACACCAAAAGCAAGAAATTAGATTTTTGTGGAGCATTAAAATATATTTTACAAAGCAGAAAAAATGCTGTTTTGATTTATTCATTGAATCTTATTTTATTTTAATCCATACACAACAGAAAAAACACTGGAGATTCTTCTAATAATCTAGGGGCCACCTTTACCTTTTGATATTGAAACAAAATAAAAAAATGAATGAATAAATAAAAAATAAATAATTATCACTTTTTGTCTCTTTTAGGACCTCAAAGGGAAAATGCAGGAGGCAATGACCCAGGAAGTGTCAGACATCTTCAGCGACACCACGACCCCCATCAAACTGTTGGCTGTGGCGGCAACTGCCCCCGTGGACGCCCCCAACAGGGACGAGGTGGGTACTGCAGTCACGTACACTACAAACAAGTAAAATCTCTTGGGTTAGTTTTCTTATTAGACTATTTTTTTTATTGTTTTAAGGTGTTCGAGGACAGAGCTGCAAACTTTGAGAACCACGCGAACAGACTGGGAGCCACAGCGGAGAAGGCGGCCGCTGTTGGGACGGCCAATAAGAGCACAGTGGAGGGAATCCAGGCAGCTGTCAAGTCCACCAGAGATCTGACTCCACAGGTAACAATATGATTCGTAATATGTCGGGTTTAATCTCTTTGAAGTTTAAATTGTTTTATCCTTTTTCTAAGAACCAACAAGTGAAAGAAAATAAATTCACAAGTGACAGTGTTCAATAAAGAGTTTGTCGTTGTTTTCAGGTTGTGTCTGCAGCTCGTATCCTGCTGAGGAACCCGGGGAACCAGGCGGCGTACGAGCACTTTGAGGCCATGAAGAATCAGTGGATCGATAATGTGGAGAAAATGACAGGTGAGCGAGGAAAAAGGTTTTAAATAGTGCATAAAATATCACCAGCTCTGTATACTGAAAATGTCAAACAGTAGCAAAATGGATTTTTAACTTTAGACAAACTGTGAGGAAAATAGGATATATATGCATAAGGTGGATCTTTTTCTGTACTATTGTTCTAATTATGACTGAAACAAGTTAACTGATGAATGAATAAAAAACTTTGAATATTATATTATCAGTGTTGGGAAGGTTACTTTTAAAATGTATTCCCAGATTACAGATTAGAATCTGAATACTTTGGATTACTTGATATTGTCCTGGTTTTAGTCCTGGTTTAGTCCTGATTTTAGTCCTGGTTTTAGACCTGGTTTTAGTCCTGGTTTAGACTTGGTTTAGTCCTGGTTTTAGTCCTGGTTTAATCCTGGTTTTAGTCCTGGTTTTAGACCTGGTTTAGTCCTGGTTTTAGTTCTGATTTTAGTTCTGATTTTAGACCTGGTTTAGTCCTGGTTTAGTCCTGGTTTATTCCTGGTTTTAGTCCTGATTTTAGTCCTGGTTTAGCCCAAAATGTGAGAACAGAAAAACACCGCCGTGTAATCCATTTATTTCAACAAAGTAACTGTAATCCAATTACCACTCACTGAAACAGTAACTGTAACTGAATACAGTTACTCATAATTTGTACTCTGATTATGTAACTCCGGTACTTGTAATCTGTTACTCCCCAACACTGTATATTATTTGGTCTGTACAAACACAGACTGCCTTTAGCTTCATCTGAGTCAGATTTAGTAAAAATATAAACCGGCCTCAATCTAAACAACTAATCAATAATTGCTAGATCAATATATTTGCTCCATTTCTAGTACATTTTGCATAATTTTATTTGGTTTTAGAAATTATTTATGTTTCGTTTACAGTTTTTCTAACAAACTTAATCCCCCCCTCCTCTCTTGTTCAGGTTTGGTGGACGAGGCCATTGACACCAAGTCACTGCTGGACGCGTCTGAGGAGGCCATCAAGAAGGACCTGGACAAATGCCGCGTTGCCATGGCGAACCACCAGCCTCAGATGCTCGTCGCCGGGGCAACCAGCATCGCGCGCCGTGCCAACCGCATCCTTCTGGTTGCCAAGCGCGAGGTGGAAAACTCGGAGGACCCCAAATTCAGAGAAGTGGTGGCAGCGGCGCGGGACGAGCTGAGTCAGACCATCTCCCCCATGGTGATGGACGCCAAGGCTGTGGCCGGGAACATCAATGATCCAAGTATGTACACAGCATTCGGGATAATAATAATAATAATAAAGGATTTTATAATAAAGCAACAAAATCTAAACGAGCAACTATACATTTTTAAAGTGCATATGACAGGTTTCGTGTTAATTTAATTAACACACTTAAAACACTGAAATAACTCATTCGAGACATTTACAGAGAGAACAGGCTTTTCAGATTCACAGGTGAGATGTTTCAGAGTGTAGCTGTGGTATAAGCACATTAAACAACTTGGAGCCGTGCATTCTGCATTTTTAATGACTCCGCTGCGTGCGTTAAAACTGCATAGCGTATGGGTCCTCGTAGCTTAATGCTTACAAATGTCTGGAGTGTGTCCAAGTTTGGAGATATAAGTTTAGATTTATAAAGATATTTAGTAATCCAGTATGTGTCAACAAACCAAGTATGTGGAGTAATCATTTAGGATAAGGGATTTGCCAATTTAAACATTTGGAAGATGGTAAAAGGTCACATTTTTATATAACGCTTTTCCACCTTCAAGGCACTCAGAACGCTTTACGTCAATGAACCACATTCACACACACATTCATACAACAGTGTACGCAGACACTGGGGGTGAGGTGGGTTATGTGTCTTGCCCAAGGACACAACGACAGCATTCGTCTTACATCTGTGGAATCGCACCAGCCAACCTGTGGGTCAGATGGACCTGACCGCTCCACCAATGATGTTTATGTTGAGAGCGGGATTCAAACCACCAACCTTCAGATCAGTGAACAAACGGTCCAACTGAGCTACTGTCATAGTGAAATGGAAAATAATCAAGTTTATCTTTGTAGCCCAATTAGGGTCATTAGGTCTTCATGTATAATAATTTTGTGATTATTATAGTTAAACCTGTATTTTTGTTAAATTTTTTGTGTCAAACAAAAAACAGACCATGACACAAAAATACAGTTCTGATTATTATTAAACTTTCTTGTTAAATTCTAAAATTACCTAGTTAGGTTACCGCTTTTTATCAAACCAAACTTTATATTATCCCTTCTCTTCAGTGCTGCAGAAGGGCTTCCTGGACTCTGGGTATAAGATCCTTGGAGCTGTGGCCAAAGTCAGAGAAGCGTTCCAGCCTCAGGAGCCGGACTTCCCCCCTCCTCCTCCTCCAGAGATCGAACAGCTCAGCGTAAGCATTTTACATTGGATATTATTTTGTAAAGTATAATATAAAGTATAATTTACAATACTGCACTGAACATAGTCAAAACTTACCAGACCCAGGACTTACTGTGTCTGAACCAACAGGACTTACAGGTTTAAAGTACATATATCTGAATCTTGTCTACACCTGGACCAATCTTCATCTAAATCAAATCATATTTTATCTTGAACCAAAGCATTTCCAAACAGGACTTGTAAGGCTTACTAAATCAGGACTGTGAAATGCCATCAGAAAAAGTTTCCTTATTTTAGATTCAGTTCACAAACCAGTTTCCAAAAACAAATGCTAATTCTGCTAGTCATGTCAATTTAATTAATGAACTGCTATTCTAATAAATCCTTTTTGTGTGTGCAGCTGAATGACGACCTGGCCCCCCCAAAGCCCCCCCTGCCCGAGGGTGAGGTGCCCCCCCCCAGACCCCCTCCCCCAGAGGAGAAGGACGAGGAGTTCCCCGAGCAGAAGGCCGGAGACATGGTGAACGAGCCCATGATGGTGGCAGCCAGACAGCTCCACGATGAGGCCCGCAAGTGGTCCAGTAAGGTCAGTACATACATACACATCTATGGGAGATTATCAGAAAAGAAGATGATTTTTAACACTTTTTGATTCTAATGTTATTTCTTGTTATTTAGATGTTATTTGTAATATGGGCAGTGTAATGTGCTGATCTTAACAATAATCATGCATTATATTTTTTTGTTAACGTCTATGTTTGTTTGTTTTTAGGGTAACGACATCATTGGCGCGGCGAAGCGAATGGCTCTGCTGATGGCGGAGATGTCTCGTCTGGTGCGTGGAGGCAGCGGAAACAAGCGCGCCCTGATCCAGTGCGCCAAAGACATCGCCAAAGCTTCGGATGAGGTCACACGGCTCGCCAAAGAGGTCGCCAAGCAGTGCACTGACAAACGCATACGCACCAACCTCCTACAGGTCAGAATTTTTTTTTTATTTTATATCTTCAATTTATTTTTCAGAGTAGCAGATTAATAAAACCTAAACTATTTCACAAAGATACTATTTCCAAATATAGTGGATTATTGATACATTTAAAAATTACTTATTTTTCTTTTTTTGTTGCTGTCCTAAAAAAATTTGTGTAGTCCAGATAATGATTATGATGGTCAAAATACGATTACGATTGGTCACAATTAGTCCAAGTGATTGTTGCAGCATAATTTGTGTTTGATTTATGTTCACAATGAAGTTGTCATAAGTAATGTAACTTACATAATTGTATTTTTTTTTTCCAGGTTTGCGAGCGTATTCCCACCATCAGCACACAGCTCAAAATCCTGTCCACGGTCAAAGCCACCATGTTGGGTCGGACCAACATCAGTGAAGAGGAGTCAGAACAGGTAAGAACAATCATTTCAATATATAATGCCTTTTGTTCCTTATTTATGAAAGTGTTGTCTTTCTTTAAAGCCAAAAAATAGCAGATTTTCCCCCCTATTTGGCTGGGTTTATTCAGGGTAGCTGCAGGGTCTTAAAAGTCTTAAAAAGGTCTTAAATTTCACATTTCTAAATTAAGGCCTTAAAAAGTCTTAAATTATTTTGTCCATGTCTTATTTTTTTCCACAATGGTCTTAAATGTCATTAGCCTATTTTTTTTTTGTATACTCAACCGAGCTGCAGTGCAATGTTAAATGGAGGGAGGAAAAAAAACAACAAAGTGAAAATGTAACGTGAATGAACGTCTAATTTGGAGTATGCACAAACAATACTTAATGATGGGTACAATGTTGGTCTTAATTTTCATGTAAGCGGCCTTAAAAAGGTCTTTAAAAGTCTTACATTTGGGGTAGTTAAACCTGGGGATACCCTGTTATTGCACTGAAAAGCCTTCCTATGAGCAGGCTTGCATCTCCACAAACCTGACTCTTATTTGGCCTTCAGGAGTTCCTCTTCCTGGTTGTTTCCATGGAAATGCTGTTCCTTTGACTATTACACAGTATGACATTGAACTTATCTAGTGTTATGGCTAGTAGTATGTTGGATAAGATCAGTCAAGCTTTAAAAAAGGTCTATTTTGTAATACAGAAAAGTGGGTGGAGATGGGTGGTAGGTGAAATCCCACATTTTCTGAGCACTCAAGCCTCGAATGCGGGACATTACAGGATTACCCATTACTCAAACATGCATGAATCAATGTAAATGCGAGTATGAGTGAGCTAATGGCGAGTGGGCGCAGTCATGACATGGTTAAAAGCTCTTAAGTCAATTTTACATAATGCGTCCCTTTGACATTGACAAAAACCTTGATTTAAATTGATTTTTTTTTTTGTCTCCAGGCCACAGAGATGCTGGTGCACAACGCTCAGAACTTGATGCAGTCTGTGAAGGAGACCGTGCGGGAGGCGGAGGCAGCTTCTATCAAAATCCGAACAGACGCCGGCTTCACTCTGCACTGGGTCCGAAAAACACCCTGGTACCAGTAAAACGAGCCCTCCCCTCACCCGTCCTGTCCTGTCCTGCGGGGGGCGCTGTGTGGACAGATCTGTGCTTTATCTAATAAGAGTGACCTGTCGTAAATGCTGTAATTCACGACGGGACCGAGAGAGTAGATTCGTACTGGGAACGTTTTCTAAAAAAGTGTGTAAAAAATGTGTTTTAAAGCTTATTTTGACAATTCCCAGGATATATATATTTTGCCTCGATTTAATGTCTAAAGACGGAAAGGAAAGGAAAGTAAGTTAAATTTAGAAAGTTTTAAAAGATCTTTGTACTGAGAATTTTATTGTATCTATTGTACACTAGGAGCACAGCAGTGGTAACAAGTATTTAACATTTAGCGCACACCTAGTAATCCAAGATATCTTAAAGTTTACACAAAGAATCACCAATAAAGGCATAAACACATCTATATACAGGAATGTAGCAACAACCTTATTTTCAATTGCCAAAGAGACATAAATGTACCTTCAAGTGTAGCAATGCCTTGATGGAAAAATCTGTGTACAATAGGGGTGTAACAATAACCGAAATATCGTGATATCGTAACGTTAAAAGTCGTGGGCCATCACAATATATCGAATTACAAGTCTGCTTAAATTAAGAGTTATGGTGCAGCAATAAGACAGAGAGAACTACATAGACCATGATCCTTTGCCCCATTTCAGTGCAGACCACAAGAAGAAATAAAAGTTCTAAGCACTTTTAAGTCTTAGTTCTTTGGATTAAGTCTTGTCAAGGAATTTTAAGAGGAAAAAGTTGCCTCCACAAAATATCATATCGAGAGATTTGGATATTGTTACATCCCTAATCATGAGCTTTCCCACGATATCGCAATAAATATCGTACTGTGAGATATCGTATCGTGAGACTTGGATATCGTTACACCCCTTGTGTACAAGTTTGACAATTTTGCTTGAATGTAGATTTCGTTCAAATCATGCGGCTTTCAATGCTAAAAAACTAAAACAAAAACTTCTTAACTGAATTTACATTGCTTACTTTGTACGACAATTCACTGTGCCTAGGTTAGATTAGACATACACTACTACATACTTTGTGTTTACCCCATCCTTTAATGCTCAATTCAACTAATTAAAGCCGCACTATGTAACTTTTCTGGTGGAAGTTCTGTTGCCTTGAATGTCCCACCTCATGGCGTTAAACTGATATAATTATGGGTGTTTTTATCGCGCAAAAACAATGCGGTTTGTGGTTTGCGACCTGTAACTTCCTCGGTTGGTATCACTTGCTTGTCTCCAGGGAGATAGAGCAGTTTAAAGCCTTACTGTGGAACATTCCAGGCATAGTAATAACATTTCCATAGAGAATAGCGGATGGCAAGTTGACCTCCAGAAAAAGTTACATAATGTAGCGTTCAAACCATTTTGTTTTTCCTTTTATTATTGCTTTCTTACAATCACATGTAAGTCAATAAGCCTTACTTTCATTACCAAGAGTACCACCAACCAATAATATGTTTAGTAACTTAATAGAGTTATATAATATTTAGTGTTTTTCATGCTTTGCTCGAGTGAGATAACATATTTAAAGGGCCCATTTTACGCTATAATGTTGTTTCCTTATCAAAAACATAATAATAAAACAACTCCAGGTATGTTTTTGATGAGATAACAACATTTTAAAAAGGCTTAAAGCTCACAAGAGTCACTTTTGCGTAATACTTTAGGACCTTTAAAGGTAATTTGTGGGAATAATCCTCTTCGTGTCGGCTTTCTACTTCTCACAGCACACTTGTCAGCAGTTTTGTTTTAAGATACTGTAAAAAAAAAAGCACACTTCTTGTAGGTTGTTAAGGGAATAGCTTACAGATCAAGCACAGTGTCCTTTGTAACTTTATTTTAATACGTAAAAAGCAGCTGCGATTTGTGGCTGTTCTAGTTTATTTTTGAATCTTTAAATAGTGGTGTTTTGACTTTCTAATACAAACTGTGCCTTCAAAATGGACTTTATTTCCAGCTTTTCTTTACAGGTGTTTTGTATTACAGTGTTGACTTGTTTTACACTTGTTATACATGATTTGAATAACTCCAGCTTCTTGACTTCAACCGAGAATCTAACTGAGCGCTATGCAAACCTGATTTTTAGTGAAAGAAATAATGCAAAATTGAGTTGCATTCACATAGAGCTGTTTTGCTATGACAATATTCACTTTTTGTAATAAAGCATTTTATAGCACTCTGAAGTGGTTCATCTTTTGATTATTTGTGTAAAAATCTTGTTAACAGTGGTGGAAGAAGTACTTAGTTTTGTTATTTAAATAAAAGTACAGATATGGAAGCAAAAAAATACTCAAGTAAAAGCATCACATGAAAAAATCTACCTATAAGTAAGAAAAAGTATTAAAGTACCAGTTTAAAAATATACTTAAAGAGTTAAAAGTATTGTAATATATAAAGTATTTTGAGTTTGAGATCTAATAAATGTTCAAATGTAGTGACTTTGATAAAGATTTGTGCTGAGTTTTGTTCAGCAGAAACATTTGGTTTTTTTTCCCCTAACTGTTTTATTTGTACATTTTTGTTCAAACTATTGCTCTTTTTTTTCTTTTTTCTTTTTAAAGTATTTCCTCAAACTATGACCTTGATTCAAAAAACAAAAAACAAAAACAAAAAAACTGCAAGATTTCCAGCAGGTTTCACACAATAATACAAATACTTTTCAGTCCTGTTCAAAACTGTAGTGCAGTAGAAAGTACAGATACCTGTTCTCAAATGTAGGGTAGTAAAAAGTACCCTCTTTAAAATGTACAGATACCTACAGTTTTTTTACTTCAGTACATTACTTTCCTACTTTTACTTCGTTACATTCCACCTCTGCTTGTTAAGTGTTTAATTTATACTGGCAACTTTGGGCCAATCATTTTCCAAAACTTCAAAACTTGTACTTAACAAGATGTAAAACTATAAGCCCTATATGTGTACAGGTAATTTATGTGTACCAAAATCATTCAAAAACCATTCTGCCCTTTATGTCAATTTAATAGGAAATTTATCTACATACCTCAGAACATAATACAAGAACAATGTAGGCCAATTTTTTTGCATTCACTCATTTGGCATTGCTGAGTTGAAATGCTTTTATGTCCATTTGCAGCTTTGATAAAACTGTGAACAGAGCAGCTCTTATGTCCCAGTGTCCAATGTTTAGACAGATGTTTCTGTGGGACATTCTTGGTGTGTGGAAGAGAACACACCAAAATAGAAACTTGAGTAAATTTCCATGTTGGCCAAATTCTAAAATGGGGCAGAATCTGTGGTATTTTTTTTTTACAGTAATGTTTATATTTTTCATTCTCATTTGCTCATTCTTTGTTGAGTATGTGGGTGATTTCTTGATGCAATGCAGTTCTCGTATTTATTCATATAATTTCTGCAAATAACTAGCAGAATATTCATCTCTAATTAGTGGAAAAGTGATTGCAAATAGTAGTCATCTGCAGTAGGCTAGTTGGACATGATCAGCTGTTCATAACTTTACACCTAATTTTCATTTCTTTGCATTAAAAACTCAAATCTGTCTCTGTTTTAAATGCTCAAAACCCCTTTCTGCCCAACACAGTCCAGATTGCAAAAGATGCCCCAGCTTCCTAATGTCTGTGCGTCCTCTGGTTGTCTGTCTGGAAGGGGAAAGGACACCGCTCCATCCCTCCTCTCTTCCCCGGGCAGCGCGCTTCTGTCCCCGCGTCGCCTTTCTCCTCCTCCCCGGCAGTGGACACCGGTTGTCGGAGGCATCGTCGCTGCTTTTTTACAATGTCGGACGAAGGATCAAACATGTCGATAGCGAAGAGGATAACCTTGAGGTGAGGAAACGATCAAAATTGTCACGTGTTATACAATGTTTTGATTTTTTTGCATGTTAGCAGGGTGTTAGCATTTAGCCGCTCCGGGATGCTTTTTGAGGAACTGTCAGCTGAGGATTGGCTTGTTTGTGATTAAAACAACAAAAGCAAAAACAAAACATGATAATAGTGCAAATTAATATGTGCTTATGCTAATATTCTGGCTGGATTTGCAGGGTTTCTTGTATGACAGGTGATAATTTGACGAGTAAAAGCTAGCGGACTGTAAATGTTTATAAAAGCAGATGGCGAAAAACATCACTTCAAGTCCAGCAGCAGCAGCAGCCCGCCCTCTAAAGTTCACTCAGATCTCACAAGTCCTGATCCCTTTTATGGTTTAAGTTAAATATTGCTTCACTACTTCAAAAAATCTAACAAAAGTTCATTTTAGAGCCTCGGTTTTCATCAAAATTTGGCCACATTTTCGGACTCTCTGCCTCTGTGCGTGTTGTCATGGCAACAGCGGGGTCATGGTTACGCTAGTTTCCACAGCGTTAAAAAACAAACAAACGAAGTAACGTAGACATTTCGTAATTTAATCACTATAATTCATTAAAACACGTAATAAAAAATATAAATACAAATATATAATAATAATAATCCAGTCGAACTTTAATTGTATCTCACATTTTATAAGCAAAAGTTTCCAAAGTGCTTCACATTGCACGTTAAAAAGTCAACAAAAAAAAGGAACTAACACAATCAATAGTAAAAGAATAATAATGATAAAAAAAATCAATGAACAAAAATAATAAAATCAAAAAATAAAGGCAGTACTAAAAAAAAAAAAAAAAAAAAAAAGATAAAAACAATACATAAATAAAAAAATTAATTAAAAACACAGAGGACCACAAAATTATGTTTCAAACACAAGAAACTAATAGAATGAATACGTAAAAGAATAAAAAAAAATCTATTAAAAATCTATAAAAATAAAGGCAGAACTAAAAAAATAAAACAGATAAGAAAAAAGAAAAAAAAAGAAAAAGAAACAGAGGACCAAAGAACTCATGTGGTGTTAAAAGCCACAGAATAAAAGTGGGTTTTAAGACTATACTTTAAAAAATAATAACAAGAGACTAATAGCAATAAGATATAAATGATATAAACGTCTGTACAGTAAGTAAAACACTATCGTATAACAATATCGTATATCGTACAATATCGTAATATAAATACAGATTATATCACAGTTATATACAAGAGGTCGTAAGGAAACAATGCAAGATGATATGGTGACTGACAGAAACACATAAAGGTGAGTTGTTGTACATTTAAAAGTTGTTGTACACTTAAAAGCAATGCACGTTTGTATTAGGAACCTTTATAACAAATGTTTTTTTTATGTACTTCACTGCCCAGTTCCCTTTTTCCCCACTGACCTCAAAGGCATCTATAAAATCACAGCTGCAGTTTCCTCCCTTTTGACCAATCAGAGCGTCAGATTGCCTAAAGCCCGCCCCCTCCGCCTGCACCAATCAGGGCGTGTTGTCCAAAGTGCAGCGTGCTCAGTCAAACACCACGCTGCTCTAGTGAAGATCCACTCCCAACTTTTAGGCTTGAATTTAAGAAGATTTTTACTTACAACATGCCGTCTGCAAGGTATGAGCAAAAATATATATGCAAATTATACCTAAATGTAACGATTTAAAACATGTACGTGTTTACTGTGCGCATGTCAAAGCAAGCCATGTGCTGTGAAGCAATAGTAAATAGCACCACAATAAAACTTTTCAGCAAGTTGTCTTAACAGTCTTGCAAAAAAAAAAAAAAAAAAATGCAAATTTGACCACTATTCATGCAGCAGCGTCTATGTTTTCATATATTAATCAACATGTAAGTAGCTTTTTTTAACCAAATAAAAAATGTTGTAAAGAGATAAACATTTTAAACACAAATGTATCCTACAATTTGAGAATCTTTACCCAATGTCTTGCAAATTATTATTTTTAGCTGTTTCTCAGTTATATTTTCATGTGTAAATCTAAAGTAAGAAACATTATGCTAGCTCTTCTCAACTTTTTTTGTTTTTGTCAACATGATTTGATTGTCTTCTAAACTGTTTATTATTGAAAACCAGACTTTGCTGTGCTTATTTTTTACTTTCACTACCTCTAAATCTCACAAGTTCACTTTTGTTTATGTTCCCTCATAGTTTTGTTTGGTAGTGCCTTACCCTGCAGCAGATGCACGTGTCCATTTCTTATCACTATCTTCGCATTCTTCACTGCTGTAATTTGTTCTCTTGTTGACAACTAACTTTCTGTAACGTAATTTTCCCACATTTTTGCCTCACCACAATCGCATTTTTGTTCTTTTTGCAGCGAGAACACCCTCTTTGGTATGGGCAACCCTCTGCTGGACATCTCAGCTGTTGTGGACAAAGACTTCCTTGACAAGTATGGAAAGTTAAATCTTAAAAATCCTAAATTCTAGTTTAAATTTACATGCTTTTGCACATTTTTCAAGGTATGGACTCAAGCCGAATGACCAGATTCTTGCAGAGGACCACCACAAAGCCCTGTGAGTACAAACTAATGTTGTCGTGATACTAAAATTTCGAACTCTATTTCGATACTAAGAACTAAACTAGATACTCAGTACAGATTCCTACAATGATAATAAAAAACGCTCAATAGAATCTAATTTTTTGTTCAGTTATGGTCTTATACTTGTTATGTTATAGCTCAAAATCTTTCTAAATCTCTCTGAATGTGACTTTTTTAATATCAATATCTATTTTCAATACTACTTTTTGCATCAATATCTGATTTTTCTACACTTTCGACAACCCTACTAGAAAGCTCCATGTGTTTAAAGCGAAGCGTGGTGAGTGAAACCAAATATGGGTCATTCATAAGAGCAGTACTACCGCGCGGACACTCACAGCTAATGCCCAAAATAGCCAGGCCCCATGGTGAGCTGTAGCAGTGAAACTGGACGCACCCGAACACGCCCACATTTTTCCCATAATGCATCTGGGCACACTTGGACCAGGAATCCTCTGAATGCAGCTCAAAATGTGTCAGTTTATAAATTTAATAGCAACAGGTTATTTACACTTAGACTTAGACAAACTTTAAGGGAAATTATTTGGACACAGTAGCCTACACATCACAATATAATATACAGTGTTGGGAAGGTTACTTTTAAAATGTATTCCCCTACAGATTACACATTACATGCCCCAAAATGTAGTTTTTAACGTAATCCATTAAATTACTTAAAGTGAGTAACGTAATCTGAATACTTTGGATTACTTGATATTGTCATGCTTTTTGAAACTACATGAATGTACCAACCACATCCTGAAAATTCTTGTTTTGTTCTCGTCAAATTGTCTGTTGAGCCCAAGTCTCCATGAAGAGGCAACTGTTTACTGTAGAGAAGCAAAGACGAGGAAATCTTAACAAATCTTAATGATGTTTTGTCAGCTAAAAGAAAATAAAAAGTCCAGTCTTTCCTGAAGCATATTAATATTATTGATAGAGAAATGTTTTCTATATGAGATCACTGCTGCCTTAAATTATGTCCACCTACTGTTAGGTGTCATATTATTTAGAACAGGTTTTAGTCCGCTCTAGTCCTGCTTTTAGACCTGGTTTAGTCCTGGTTTAGTCCTGGTTTAGACCTGGTTTAGACCTGGTTTAGACCTGGTTTAGACCTGGTTTAGACTTGGTTTAGTCCTGGTATGGTCCTGGATTTAGTCCTAGTTTATTCCTGGTTTTAGTCCTGGTTTAGACCTGGTTTAGACCTGGTTTAGTCTTGGTTTAGACCTGGTTTAGTCTTGGTTTAGCCCTGGTTTTGGTCCTGGTTTTAGTCCTAGTTTAGTCCTGAGTTTAGTCCTGGTTTAGTCCTTGTTTAGACCTGGTTTAGACATGGTTTTAGTCCTGGTTTTGCCCAAAATGTGAAAACGGAAAAATACCGCCATGTAATCCATTTATTTCAACAAATTAACTGTAATCCAGTTACCACTCATTGAAACAGGAACTGTAACTGAATACAGTTACTCATAATTTGTACTCTGATTATGTAACTCCGGTACATATAATCTGTTACTCCCCAACTCTGATAATATAATAACAAAAAGCAAAAGTATAAATGTTAATAATACATTTTAAATAAGTTGCTAAAATAGCAAGAAACTGTTGTCAAATAAGGCATTCTGTAATTATTTATGTTAATTCATAACATGAAATGGCCAAAGTGCATAGTGATAGTGTTAAATATAGTATATATACAGTACAGATACAGTAAAAAGACTGAAATATGAACTGACAAACTTATACAAGAGTCACATTCAGAACACTTTGTACAGATTAAACAATAGGGTTAGTGCAGGAAATGATGATACTTCAAAAAATGCAGCCCTTTGCTTTGTTTACCAACTCCAGTCTCATTAAACACTGTCTCTGCAATTAATCAAAATTTAATCAAGATTCAGCCATTGCCAGTCGTCTACGATCAGCTTGGGTCTTTTTAATGGAGAGGTTCACCGCCAATCCTCTGTCAGTGAAAGCAAGAGGTTTGGAGCTGAGCTCAGACTTTGGAACAAGAAATGTGACTATTTTTGGTTTAAATCCAATTATTAAAATTGCTGAGTGTTTATGTTCAGACTTATCATATTTCACAGATGAGAAATGAATAGTCTAGTATAGTTGGATTAGAAAACATTGATCGTTAATACAACATTACAGTTATTATGTTACACTTTCCCAGACGCTGTTGGGCAAGTTACTTCAAAACTGTAATGTTTAATATTATGACTTGTTACTGTCATTTCAAAGTAATTTGTTACATTATAATATTACTGTGTTTAAAATATAAGACATTACACGCCTACGCAGCACTTTAATTTACTCTCACCAAAATAACTGAGCAAAGATGCTGAACTTTTGCACTGTATATGGACTGAACCAGGACTAAACCAGAACTGAACCAGGACTAAACCAGAGCTGAACCAGGACTAGACCAGGTCTAAACTAGGAATAAACCAGGTCTAAACCAGGTCTAAACCAGGACTAAACCAGGTCTAAACCAGGTCTGAACTGAGGACTAAACCAGGACTAAACTAGGACTAATTCAGAACTGAACCAGGTCTAAACCAGGATTGAACCAGGACTAAACCAGGACTAAACCAGGACTGAACAGTCCTGGTTCAGTCCTCAGAACCAGGACTGAACCAGAACTAAACCGGGACTGAACCAGAACTAAACCAGGTCTAAACCAGGACTGAACCAGAACTGAACCAGGACTAATCCAGGACTGAACTGAGGACTGAACTGAGGACTGAACCAGGAGGACTGAACCAGGTCTAAACCAGGTCTAAACCAGGTCTAAACCAGGAGCAACTCCGGCGTTTCACCGCTGCTGATTTCGCTGTGATTTTAGCGAATTTGCATGAAGAAAATCGAAAAACCCACCATTTCAACCAGATTAAAAAAGCATTGTGACGCTCGTTACTAACATTTGTACTGAGTAAAATATTACAGTTTTTTTCCCTGTAACGCCTTAACATCACTGCATTAGAGCAAAAAACAACACATTACAGTAATTTGTTAGTTTCATAACACGTTACTCCCGACACTGTTCCCCCAGATACAGGAAAACAGCTCTTTAGAAGCCTAACCTCGCTGTATTTGAACCACGTAGAAGTATTACTGAACACAATGTCATGTTTATTCATAACTACCATATAAATAATAGAGGAATTGTTTTTTTTTGGTTTTTTTGAGGCCTACAACATATTGGAAATCGTCTGTGTAATCCTCTATTCATTTGGGTATGATCCAACTTTTGTCTAGTTAACAGAATAGATTTTTTTTCTTTTGCTATATCAGAATAGTATTTATATTTGTGATAAAATAAACGTTTAATCTTGAGTAATCTGTATTGTTGCACCCCTAAGAGTTTCACATCCTGCCGTATTCTCATAAACAGGCTTGTAACTTGTTTATAAATGACTGTAGTCCTCTCTGTGCCTTTGGTCTTGTCCTGGTCTGGGCGTCACTCACACTGTAGTTGACGAAGCATTGTTCCCGTCTGTTTTGTGACTGGTCAGAGTGAGTCATGTGACCGCCCAGAGCAGCTTTATCAGCAGTCGTTCCTCTGCAGAAAAAAGCCACTAAACATTCACATTGTGGACAAGGTCAGGCCTGGATTAACACGCAGCTCGGACCATTAAATCTCCCACAATGCATTTCAACACACCGGCTCGTACAGTCATGTTTATGGTATTTAATTATCTTAGCCTGAATTACATTGTTATTTCAGGTACACTGTGTAACTTCATATGTTAGATTAGATTAGATTAGAAAACTTTATTTATCCCCAAGGGCCAGTTCTGTTTTTGCAGTCACGGGCAACAGCGTAAAAACACACACATACATTTCACGCAGGTCAGGGCCTCGGACAATTATGGGCATCAGAGCTGAGCATTAGTGCAAATGAGGCATAAAGTGCAAAGGCCACATACAAAACAGAACAACAACATTAGAACAGTAAACAAAAGTTGCAGTATTGCTTTTCCATGAATGACAAACTTAACTAAACTTGTTTATCTCCATCTAAACTAGCAGGTGATGCCCATAGGTTACAGGTCAGATCTTTGGAGAGGCAACCCCACGAACAATTTTGTACGTATAGTTTTGAGCAAAGAAAATAAAAAAAATAGACAGATAAAATCAAAATAAATAATAAAAAAAAAATAAATAAAAATAAAAAATAATAATAATAATAATAGAAAAAATCTTGGATAGATACATTAACTCTCATACTGTGAAACTTTCAAGGCAAAGCAACACCATCGCCAAGACAATCATCGAAAAGTTACATAGTGCAGTGTTTTAATAAAGAACGTAGTGCTTATTTTCCTCTCTCTTTGTGTTTTTAGAAATGGGTTACATAAGAATAAATATTTGTTTAACCAGAAACCACTCCTGCCTTTACTGGTTTATTATTAATATATGAATTGTATCTAGTGGTTCAAGTAGACCTGCTATGAGAATTACGATGTCAACTCTATTAGATGAGTCAATATTTAGTGGTCACACCAGTTTGTCAAAGTCTGATCCTGTCAGGTCTCAGAAGCTCAGCAGGGCCGGGCCTGGTTAGTACTTGGATGGGAGACTGCCGGGAAAATCAGGTGCTATGGGGGGGTGCCAGTCACAAAAACTGTCATTGTGTCCTTAGGCAAGACACTTCACCCACATTGCCTAGTATGAAAATGGTGCGTGCGTGAGTGATGGTGGTGGTCAGATGGTGCAGTTTGGCAGCCTCGCTTCCATCAGTCTGCCCCAGAGCAGATGTGGCTATAATAGTAACCATAGTAACGACCACCAAATGTAGAATGAATGAACGTTGAACCACCAAGTGCTTTGGGTATCTTGAAAGGCGCGATATAAATGCAATGATTAATAATAATAATTTATCATGAGTATTTTTTTTTTTTCTTTGTAGTCTCGAGTGATAAAAACTAGGACACCCCTGACTTGTGGTGTTTGGTAATAATAAAATTGTGAAAC